GTTTTATAATATGTAGTGATTATAAAGTTATTATTTGGGGTTTGCCATATTTACTAAAATAAGTTATTTATATTTTTATAGAGTAACAGTTAGTATAGATTTCTCAGAAATGATATATTTTCATGCATTAAAAAACATCCTATATATCTACCCGGAGCTATCTTCATACCAAATTTCATCAAAATCTGTGCAGTGGTTTTCTCGTAATGCGTTCTCAGACAGTCAGACAGACAAAAATTCTGAAAACTATAGATTCGGCCTCCGTATCGATAATAATTAATAGATATAAATTAATTAGATATCGACTCAGAATTTTATTATATGTATAGATAAATCAGAGGGGATAGATTATTTCAAACTTTAAATAAAATCTAAAGTATAAAATAATTTTACAACACAACCCTAAAAAACGTCCGACGATTTACCTCATTTCGGAGAAATCATTTATCTTGATGAGCGGAAGAAGGCGAAAGGAATATAGCGAAATAAATGATGATAAAATATTACCAAATGGCAGAGTTATCCTAAAAGATTAATTCCAAAAGGAAAATGAAATATTTTAACACAACATATTTGGTTTTTAATAGTTTATGAATATGATAGCGCACGGAAATACACTGCTATGAAATATTAGTAAAAGCTTGTTTACCAATTTCTTTATTATATTATCGTTAACCAAATTTCACCATAAAATATCATAAAATCTCATTTGTTATTCATAAAGTAATCAAAAACAAAAATAAAGTATTCTTCAGAATATTAGGTAAATATTCTTGTAGTTACCATTGTTTCGTGAATAATTTAGATACGTTTTTTTTAAAGTAGTTTCGATTGAAGATTGACATATTATGTGCTGGTACGTTGGCTGATATAATTCGTTGGCTCACTATTACAAGGTTCTATGTTACTATTTTAGTACTTATTTAGTTATTAGCGCTACAAGATTCTATGTGTCATTAGCTACAGTTTTGCAAAAACAAACCACTAGATAGCGGCACTATAATTACAAAATATTCAATTTTACATAGTTCTATGTTGTTTTTTTTTACGATAACAAAATAACGAAGTTCTGTGTAAAAATTACTGAACTTCATTAAAATTAACATAGAACCTTGTAATAGTGGGCCAACGAATTTATGTACATAATATACGTTAAAAAAATTAAGAAAAAAAAATATTTTAAAAATAACATTGATTTATTAAAAAATATATATAACCGTATATCAACTTAGTGGATTCTATTGTAAAATCATAAAATAAAGTGTTATTATCGCATCGCTGTAAATTCTAGAATAAACATAAAATTAAAGATAAAGTTACTTGTAACTTTGAAAACGTCTTGAGTTTGTAATTGAATCTCTTAAGTAATACAAATCTTTATAAAATATCAATGTTATGTTGGTATATAAGATAAATTACTCTTTTTATTTTAACGTTTCTATTTTAGACATAATTATTTATTAGTTATTTTATTAGTGACTAGCGACTCACCCTCGATTCGCTCGGGTTCGTCCTTAGCTTGCTTACCAATACAAACTTTCATCCCTATTTTCACCCTCTTAAGGAATGATTTCCGGTATAAAAAGTATCCTATGTCCTTCCCAGAGTTTCAAACTATCTTCTTACGAAATTTCATCTAAATCGGTTCAGTAGATCCAGAGATTACCCCCTACAACCTCACAAACTTTACCTCTTTATAACATTAGTAGGTATGGATTATAAACTATACGGGTGGGTTCATAACTCCGAGTATTTAAAAACTTGGAATGCTCGGTAATAGTTACATTGCCTGAGCTCAAGGCAAAAATTTGCACCTTTACATTGCCATTTCAGTTTTGCTTTTTTCTTGGAACTGGCAAAGAATGTCTTTCTTGGAAACACAGTAAGATATTTACATAGCAGTAAGATATTTACAGCTTGGAAATTTTGCTGTTATTGACTTTCGCTTTAAAGTAAGCATATTTTTATCATTTGTTTTATTTAGAACTTAAAATATACGACTTAGTTCATGATTTATATGCAAATCTTCAAGTGTATAATACTTTTGTCTGCGGTTTTGCTCACTTTTGTTTATTTGTTGTATTTATTTATGTTTTTGTTTATTCCACCATAATTCAATTCATAGAATACAGACATAATATAAGAAATGTACACATTTTTTATAAAAAAAGCTCTAATGAAACTGTTGTTCAACTGCTCAATCAATGTTCACGAATGATTCGCGTTTAAAGCGTACACATAAAATATAACTGATAATTCGGTTACTAACAACCTTTTGAAATATTTAAACCATTTAAACATACACTATACTGCACTACTTACTCGGTCAGAATATTATTTTTACAATACTATTGTATATAAAAATCGATTTATTCTAATATAGGTACATAATCGCAATACTGTCCCTTTATAATTAGAATGTAGGTAAGCTTTAAAGAATACAAAAAAATCTTTTCTCGATATTAAAAAAAAGAGAAACACTCTCAATTCCCTTTTTAAATTTTCCTATTGTATTATTATATTAATAGGTTGATTCCCCATACAAACTTTCATCCTCATTTTCACCCCCTTAAGGGATCATTTCCGGGATAAAAAGTATCCTACATCCTTACCAGGGTCTCAAACTACCTTCTTACCAAATTTTATCTAAATCGGTTCAGTAGATCCAGAGATTACCCCCTACAACGTCACAAACTCACAATTCACAACTCACAAACTTTACTCTTTATAATATTAGAATAGATTAAACTTTAAAAAATATTAATTTTTAATTTCACCTTCATTTATTATATCATTTAATTTTATTATTTAATTTCTGTTTAGTTTAATTTTCTACAACTAAACATGACCACACGTCCTCTTCGTCGATACCTCGTCTAAGAGCGCGCAGAACCGGGAGCTCAAACTCTATTCTTGAATTCACTCGTTCGATAGAAATATATCTTACCTAGGTTCAAATTTAAACAAAAATATCTAAATCTATAGACAACACAATAAAAAAGGCCTATCCAAAAATATCAAGCCCTCGTCGAGTGTTACGCGACTAAACTGATATGGATGTGTAAATATTTTAAAAGCTGTAGCAAACTTACATCCCCTTCAATTCTATTTTCCAAATACACATTTTTAAAAGCACACAAATTTTATTCTATATCTTTAAATATTAATTTCCTAGACGCACAACTCTACATTACTCCGCCCAAAGAGCCTAAATGTTTAAGAGACTCTACATGTACATAAAAAATGCAAGCTAAGTACATATAATAATCTATACATATAATAAAATTATAACTAAGCCGAATCTGTACATTAGATATTTTTTTGGAAAATCTTATTGAAATAAACATTATTATCGATACAGAGGCCGAATCTATAGTTTTTAGAATTTTTGCCTGTCTGTTACCGCATCACAGAAAAACCACTGGAGGGATTTTGATGAAATATGGTATGGTGATAGCTGGTTATCCGGATCAACATACTTTACTTACTACCTATAATAATACTTTTTACCGCAGGAAAATATCTCATTTCTGAGAAAAAATACAAAAACTGCAAAGTAACAGTATACTAATCTGTAAAACCTAAGAATTTGGTTTTGGGTCATCTGAACGCGGGCGGAGCCGCGGGCAATGCTAGTTATTAATAAGAAAATATAATTATGTATCTATATGCAAATATCGTATTGAAGTGTACGCGTAGTTATCGTGCTGAATACATAATACATCTCGGGAGACATATTCGCTCAAACATGATGACAAGATTGCATACAGACAAATGGAGATTAGAATAGGCTTTGATGAATTAGCCAGTGAGTCAGAATGGCGCTTTTGTAATGGAAATAGTATTACCTGCTCACAATTTTTTTTAATCTTCTTCTCTTTATAATTTCAATCGTATATCACTTATTTGGATACATTTTCAAAATTAAGTATTAATAAGTAGACATACTAAGTATTCCCATTTTGTTTTGTTTTTTTTTTAGAAAATTATTTATAATAAATTAAAATATATAACTTAAATTTTGTAAACAGTTCAATATAGGTATTATAATTAATATATGAATCGATTTTCAGTAATTACAATGAAATATTTCATCAATAGTTAATATTTCGTTATTCGTTAAAGAGAAATGAATTTAAAAGGATGGACTATCCATTTAAAATAATACTTTCAAACGTTAAAACGCAGGAATACAGAATTCTCTTGTGTGTTAATTATATAACGCAGAAACAAAGCTCGGTTTGCTAGTGTTATTGAAATAAATAAAAAAATTATGTATATTGAATTGTCCTACGGCAATTTTCAAAATATCAGATTCTGTTTCATATCGAAATAAACAAATTATTAATTTGGATTATTGGCGCGTAATTGTTACGTGAATTTAATTTATTTTATTGTAAGTATAAACCTACTTTAATAAAAACACGCTAACGATTAAGCTTTATTATACGAATTTATATAAAAAGCTCGTACAATAAATCCGATAAAGACTTGTCGAAAATAATAATAGTTTCTCATCAACGCAAAATAAAAATTTGCTTGACCACTTCATTTAACTTTAAAGCATAAAAGCTTCAATTAAATCTGAACGAGTATTTGAACTAAGAAAACAAAGAACCATAGAAATTGTGGTGAAGCTTTTGAAAAACAATTCCGCGAGCTTTTTTCTTTCTGTTTTTACAATTCATTTTTAGTTGCAAAAAATCGTAGTCATATTCGTGTCCTCTACGGATGGACAAGCTCCTCGAAACTCCTCCAATTAAATATTACATAACCATTCAAGGATTCACATTTCCAATCCATATAGCATGTGAACCGTATCGAAATAACGCTGGATGAACAAACAATTGTAACGAATGTAACCTTACAATTCAACCGGACGAGCGGACCCGGTGCGAACAATACGCATTTTTCCAAGTATCGCCAGTCACATCCTGCGATTGGCCTCCGCTCGAGCGAACACTCCCGTTATATAACACACCTCCAGAATTCCAACTCACCGATCTGATACTGCATCGATTATGTCACCTCACAGCTGATGAATTGCACGACGTGAGGCCTGAGGTTTGTCAAAGGTAGTTCCGCGAACGCTCGCGTTTCGCGACGGTGTGGATTAGCGTGGGTCGCGTTGCGGGGTCGATGGAGGCGAGTGGGTGGAAGGGGCTTGGAGGCTGCGGACTCCGTGCGGATGGTTACATAAGTCGCGAGAGGGACCGAGGACACGTGTAGCCCCTCCGGGGCGTGTAGCGCGACTGCCGCTCGGGCGCCGCCCCGCCGTTGAGCCACGCGGACTACCACCCAGACGTTGTTAAACAGCCTTCACGTGTGCCTCAGTTAACGGGGCTAATAAACCTTTGCGATTCATGGATTACTCCACATAATATTGACTGTAACACCAAACTTAATTGCCATAACATTATTAGGTATCCTTTTTATTATGAAAAGCGGCTACTAATTTTTAAACATATTGTATAAAACATTAAGATTGCATTGAATTAAATTTATTATGTGATAAATTATCCCGAAATATACAAGTATACCTAATGTAAGGATTAATTTATATTGATTACATATATGTATTGTTTAACCATGTTTAATAAATATTTACGTCATTTTAAAAAATCTACAAATAACAAACATAATAAACAAAAAATCTACTATTAACCTTAACTAACTACCCTTTGTAAAAAAGCTGTATAAAAATCAATAATAGTTTAGTTCGTAATTGTTTACGTTCAAACTATTACATTACCATTCACTTAAGCACTACCGTTGAAATAAATGTAATATCCATACATACATATGAAGATATAAAATACTAGCATTGCCCCCGGCTCTGCGTTCAGATGACCAAAAACCAAATTCTTAGGTTTTACATATTAGTATATTCTGACATTGCAGTTTTTGCATTTTTTCTCAAATATGAGATATTTTCCCGCGGTAAAAAGTATCCTATATGTTGACCCGGATAACCAGCCATCACCATACAGAATTTCATCAAAATCCCGCTAGTGGTTTTTATGTGATGCGGTAACAGACAGACAGACAGACAGACAGACAGACAGACAGACAGACAGACAGACAGACAGACAGACAGACAGACAGACAGACAGACAAAAATTCTAAAATCTATAGATTCGGCCTCTGTATCGATAATAATGTCTATTTCAATAAGATTTTCCAAAAAATATTTAATGTACAGATTTGGCTTAGTTAGAATTTTATTATATGTATAGACTACGAAACTTTGAGAATTAAATTTGTATAATATCAGCAACAGTTAGTTTCTTGTAATAAATTTATTTCTAAATCGGGTTTCTACTTAAGTTTTAGAGCTTAATAATATAAAATCAAGTAGATGGCATATGTCCAAAATCAGGATGAGTCTTTAATAGTCCATGATTCCATATTCCCCGGACGCATTTCAGGAATATTGATGAAAATTTTACCGAATTTCATTTGAATTTTATATAACGGCACATTTATAACAGATGTGGTTTTTTTCACCGGAAAAAATCTTTTATTAGATGTGTAAAACTTGACTAATAAAATTTAACAAAAAAAGTATTTTAGTTAAAGTCTCACGTATTTTTTTTTAAAGCTGAGCTGTATACTATATAAATTACTATATAAGCTATACATTAATATATATATATATATATATATATATATCTTCTTCTTCTGCCTGGCATTATTAATCCCGGCTATTGCCAGGGTCTGCCTATATATATATACTAGCGGACCCGACAGACGTTGTCCTGTCTACACGTCTTTAATTTGAAAATTTCAAACTTTTTTTAATAATTTTTTTGATGAAAATTATTATTCAAATTGTGAATCTAAACCATTCCCAGATCCCCTTGAACCCACACAAAAAATTTCATCAAAATCGGTCCAGTCGTTTGAGAGAATTTCAGTGACATACACACTCACAGAAGAATTATATATATAAAGATATGTATATATATATATATATATATATATATATATATATATATATATATAAACAGAAAAACAGCATCATTCTCTGTTTTGAAAATAATGAAAATGCTTTAACACAGCTTAACCACTTTATTGATGAAAACTAAACTTGTCATGATTGCGAAAGAGCTAAAATAATGTAAAAAATATAAAAAAAATATATATTCTGCAATGATTATAAATTAAAAAACCTATAGAAAATTCTTTTACCTATTTTTATCATTTATGATTCATATAAATTATAGAATGTTCAAAGGCTTTAATTACTTTTAAATAATACCTAGCTGTTTTTATTTATTTATATAAGTAATTTACAAACGACGCCATCTATTGAGGAGTAGCATGCATTATTATTAAACATTTGTTTATAAAAATTATTTTAAATGTTTTTATGTCATTGTATGATTAATGTAAAATATTACAGTTTATTTGATACAAAATATTAGTGAATAGTTATTTTATAGTATACAAATATTTTTGAATATCTTACAAATAAACTCTCGTGACAAGATTGAATCTATATATAAAAAACAAAGTCGGGTTTGTTACAACACTTATAATTCGAGAACTGCTGGACCGATTTTCATGGTGTTTTATCTGTTGGATTTGTTTCCACCCCGAATAGCAAAATAAGCGAAGCGAGCGACACAAGGGTGACCCGCAAGTCAATCATATATCTTATATTAAATTGTATTATACTTATTCTTTAGGTTTTTATACTTTTTCCTTTACTTCTTTCTAAAGTGTCCACTTCTCACCGAAACAGGCAATCATAAGGGCGATTTAGTTCTTTGATGTCGCAACTCCGAATAAATAACGAGTACCTACTACGAGTATTGCCAAACCACTGACGTCAATTTTTAACCGACTTCGAAAATGTACTGTAAATGTATTTTTTTGCGTTTTTGTGGGTATATTACTATATTTTCGCCAATTTTAGATCGATTTTCATATTTTTTGAAGGGTGGTCCCATATAAAAAACATATTATGTAGGATAATGTCAAAATGTCTCTGTCAAAATATTATTTTCTTTTAACTAACTGGAACCAGTTATGCAAAAAACAGCCATGTGCGTAAAAGTACCAACAGAGTTATAAGCATTTTTCTGTCGATGGTTGCACTTGGGTTATGTTTTGTTTTTCTGGTTATTTTAAAATTGAACAATATTTATAAAAGTATTGTTTATTTTTTATTATTATTTTATTTATTATAATAAAATGCTTATAACTCTGTTGGTACTTTTGTGTACGCACATGGCTGTTTTTTGCATAACTGGGTCCAACTTTTTCTTTGTATATCGGGTATTTTTTTTTGTTTTGTATACACATATTGTGGCCAAAGACCAATAACTCATACATACAAATTTATTTTATTTTTTATCATTTTAAGATATATTAAAAAACTACTACAAATTAAACTATAGACATCAAATGTTTCATTTGGAGCAGGTCTATTGATAAAGCCTTAGGAAAGAAGGCAACAACCCTCAACTAAACTAGTTTATGCTACATAAAGATGTTTTAAAATTTGTACATTTACTTTACACAAGTCGTTAAATTAAATATATTTCCTATTTTCTGTTTTATAAACATTATATAGATCTTTTTTTTTTATGTTGGGACATTAACACACAGCGCCATCTAGTTCCATGGTAAGCTACGAGGCTTGTGTTATGGATACCAGATAGTTGATACACTACACATATATAAATTTAAATACATACATATTATAAATACAAACACCCATAACTGGAGTACAAACATTCGTGATCATCACACAAATGAATGCCCCCAGCGGGACTTGAACCCGCGACCGCTGGAACAGCTAGTAGGGTCACTACCAACTGAGCCAAACATGTCGTCAAATTGAGTATAAATATTGTTTTTACGGTATATTTCTTACATATAATGAAAGTGCTCAGAACAGTTTTATTTCATATATCTTCTTCTTGGTCATTCAGTATGCTACACAAATAAAACACTGATATAGGTTAAAAGACATATTTTATTAAAATTTCGATATAGTACTTACATTTTTTATATAAAAATATAGTAATTACAAAGTAATTGGCGAAGCAAATTAATTTTAATTGGTTTTGGCCAAAATCAGTCTTTTCTTGAATTCAATTTCTGTAAAAATGAACTTTTTAGAAGCCAAATAATGAATATATTTACAATATTATAAAATAGAAAATATTTAATATAAGAGCTCTGTTATTTCAACTTTATGCGGTAATAAAAAACTAAAACATACCCTAATTTGATCCAAATTTTCTATATTTTTTTTTTAATAAGCACACTGTGACAGCAACATGTACATATACCTAATATATCATTCATTAAGAAAAATAAACTATCTCCATAAGTAATACTTAATAATACGTTAATTCAAAATAAAAATCATTTTAAATCTATTACAACTTACAATAAGAAAAAAAATGTTAAAACTTTGATTCGTATAATAATAATTGACGATATTCACAAACCGTTACAAATTAACATCAAAGAGATTTATGCCCGATTTCACCAACATCCCATAAGCTACCACCTACGTATGGGATCCCTAGCTTAAAAGTACCCCTAAACTAGCCCCTAAACTAAATTTCGTTTTACCATCGTCAGAGCCCGTATTTCTAGTACCTATATTTAGGTGGCATTTTAAAATTTAGGTGACCCCTAACTGTCGGTGAAACAGAAGCTGTCCCCTAACAGCCCCCTAACCATGCCTAGGGGATCCCTTAAACTTGGTGACGTTAGTGAAATCGGCCATTAGACGTCTTAAGTATGTCTAGGAAATAAAAGTTCAAGCAAAGCAGTAAAGTACAATTTGACATTTGCTAAACATTTTTAAGGAATTTAAAATTAAAAATTTGGTGTAAGTGAACCTATTAAACTACGAATAAATTAATTTAATATTATTATTTATTCGTAGCTATTAAATACATTTTTTTAAATAAGAATTAATCAAAATCCATACTTAGGTATATTATAAATGTGAAAGTGTGATTATTTGTTTGTCTTTCTTTCAAGTCGAAACAGAGTGACAAGATTGGCGTGATTTTGTGTGGACATAGTTGGAGGGCTGGAGAGTGACATAGGCTACTTTTTACCGCAGAAGATTATCACATTCCTACGGGATAACACAACCCAAAAAATTATTTATGAACAGAATTACTTGAAACTTGGTATTAATGCTCTTCAGTACAATTAAATCATAATAATATAATAATAATAAGGGGGTAAAATAGGGAATAAAACTATTACCTATACGATAAATAATTAAACGATCAAATATCGAAAGTTAACCAGTAGGCAAGAATGTTCCAAGTTATCAGTTTTCGATTTTTAAAAAAACCAAAATAACAAAGCCATTCTTATAAAAAGTATATATACAAAATATTAGCCATTATTATTATTATATATTTGTTATATAAATATTATTTTAATAGATCTTAGTTGCCTCAAGAATGTGAAAAATAAAAAATAAAGCTTAATACTCAAAAACAGATACATGTATATGTAAGAATCCCAATATAACAACCCTTAATACACAACGTATGATTGGATATATTAAGAAAAATCATCTAAACATTAGAAATCACAAATTGTAGGCTTTTTATATTCTTTTTGTCTTACATATATACATATACCTATATCATTTGAAATGACTTTAAAAATTGACTAAACGTAATTATTACATTTGAATAGTAATTTATATATGTTTTATTTTGTTAAAACTATAAATAGAATACGAATTTCTTAAAGATTTATTATTTAACTATCTAACTGTGGGCAAGTTAATCTAAAGAATAATTTATTAATTAATCTTACGTGCAAGTTTCCGAGAAAAACTAGATATTTTGACGTTTTATTCACATGTTACTGATGACATCTGTCATGTGACTGATAACGATCTTTGGATTAAAAACTTTTTTGAAAAAAGTTCACAGTGAGATATTTAATTCATTTTTATTATTTAATTTCTTTCTTTGTTTCAATCTAGGCATATAATTTTCATTATAATTTAGTGTCAATATACTTTATACAATTTAAATGGTTTCCAACATACGTCAATATGATATATCATTCATAAATAGATTTCATATAACATTATATTCACGAGGATCGCTGATCTAATATTTAGCGACGAAAGCAACAAAACACATTACAAAATAAGCTGGTAACTTCAGCTTTGGTGGACACTCGCTTATACCTGGCAGATTGAACAGGTATGACGAGTTCAAGAACTGATGCGTCATCATCTTCATCAGAGGCCGTCAGCTCGACTTCGTATAGTGGCGGAGAAGATCTGTCAGGACTGCCTGATAGGAAAGGTTGTGTGCCATCCGTTTCACGCGCGCGTTGCCATGGGATCATTGGTATCAAAATTTCACAGTCGAGCCTATCTTCTTCCATCTCTTTCTGAAGAATAATGATATGAATGATAGCATAATATAATATTAATCACTTTAATTGTATTTACAATGAATAAATTTGCAAGGCTTAAAAAACGGGTGTTTTTGCTAAATAAAAAAATATTTATACCTATGTTTAAGTATACCTGGATTATCGATCGACTTAATTCATCAGGCGCCATTTCTTATTATTAGAAGTTAAAAAGTAATTCGACAGATCTTTAGTGAATAATTTGGGTATTAGTAGAAATTGTAAAGTGTTTTTGTTCTTTTTAAAAAATATATATCTCACCAACTCCTCGTCAAACTTTCTCTTTGCGCATCGCACCAATGGCACTTTTATCACTGGTTCTTCGTCACTGCTGCTAGTTTCTGTTAACTATAGAATATAATAATTAGGTACATACTAAGTACTAACAAACAGAACAGATGATAAAACTTAAGTAAAATTGATAATTTAAGAGTAATATTTATAAATTAGTGACACTAGTTATAATGTTATATACAGACAGCGCCATCTCTTGGCGAATTTCTTTACTAATTGTGGCCTATGTCTGTAATTTAATATAAAATTACAGCCAAACAAGTCCAGCCATTTCAGTATGAAGAAATAACAAATATACACACACGTCACATACACGTTTGACGACACGTTTGGCTCAGTTTGTAGTTACCCTACTTGCTGCGCCAGCGGTCGCGGGTTCGAGTCCCGCTGGCGGGGTATTCATTTGTGTGATGAGCACAAATGTTTGTACTTCAGTCATGGGTGTTTATAATTATATATATATATATATGTATTTAAAAATTATATATGTGTAGTGTATCAACTATCTGGTATCCATAACACAAGCCACATAGCTTACCATGGAACTAGATGGTGCTGTGTGTTAATGTCCCAACATATTTATTTATTTATTTTATTTACATACATATTAACTTACGCATTTTTAATAGTAGTGTGATCAGTGACTTAAAGTACATAAGAATTCTGGAATATTAAACATAGTTTGTTCAGTAAAGTCGACATAGTTTATTCGAGATATATTATTCAGAAGTATTTGCTGGCGTCGTCGTCAAACTCGCACAAGGCTGACTACCTACTTCTAAATTATTTTAATATGCATATTTAGTTTATTAAAAGCATACATAAGTAGGTATATTTTGTGTTTTCCTGAGTTCTGGACGTCGTACTTGAGCATAAATGTATGCCTCGACCGATGATTAACACCTCCAGGTAAATTTCTAAGAAATTAATTAAATTTCTAAGAAATCTATTGTTAACTGTAACGCCGGCGTGTCCGCGGTCGTGGAGGGATTAACAATCAAATTGAATTAGCTCAGCTTATATTTTATGCATTTTTTTCTTAATCGTTTTTTTTAAACACGACACCATCTAGTTCGATGGTAAGCTACGAGGCTTGTGTTATAGATACCGGATAGTTAATACATTATACATATATAACTTTAAATACACACATATTATAGATATAAACACCCATGACTGGAGTATAAACATTCGTGTTCATCACACAAATGAATACCCCCAGCGGGACTCGAACCCGCGACCGCTCGCGCAGAAAGAGCTTTAAAGAAATGTGCAAAGGCGGCCTTATCACTAAAAGTGATCTCTTACAGGCAACCGCTAGAAGTAGGATACAAAAGTTAACAGAAAGCGGAAAGGTGCATAAAGTGTACTCAATAGACGTATTACATATTATAAACATACATTAAAAAATACATATATAAAATACTATTAATACAATAAATATTTATTGTTTAAATACTTAAACATACATATACATAATAATATAATAAAATAATAATAAACATACATAATATACACTATAATATAATACATGCAACTATAATGACAGCTTAGTTGTAAAGCGTCAAATAGTGTGTTTTGAGACGCTTTTTAAAAATGCTTATTGACTTGGACTGTCTTATTTCATTTGGATTATATATTTCATTAGTTATGCTTATTTGTGGGTACGACAATAACTTCCTCTGCAAATAATAAATGATAGGAGATTTTGAAATCGACATAATTTTCATTTCAACATTCATTAAATGAGCTGTCTGGACTATGTTTTTCACAATTATTCTCACATATTATGATATGAATTCAGTATTGTACTATACCACCTTGAATAGCTTGTTAGATCAAAAGTTTGCTTACTTGGACAAGATCATCCAGTCGCTGCGCTCGCGCACGTTCCGTATCATCACTATCAATGCCGCTGTCCTCATGTTCTGGTAGCAACGGGATGAGTAACTCACCCCGATTACCAACTTCCGCCGCCAGCTTGATTTGTTATAATTAACACCTGTGACACCTAAAAATCATTTGATGTTATAAAACATAACAATAAGAACTTAACGAAAGTAATAAATTACCACTTTAGGCTTCTAGGTACATAATAAAAAAAAACGTGTATGTGAACTTATGTACGCACATAAGTAGTTATACTTTTTTAGCGTAACAGAACAAAAATAGCTAAAGATTTCATCCCGTATGTCACAACTCTCTGTTTGTATGTGTTTTCTTTAACAACTCTCTGTTTGTTTGTATTGTATTTGTAAGGAATGCAACTAACTTCATCATTTCGTTTTCAGCTAACTTTATCATGTCGCTTTTTGGCTGTCGGTGTGCGCGCGCATCGTAAAATTTTACTCACATAATTTTTTTCTAAACGTGCCAACAGAAGTATATTTTAAAAAAGAAATTTGATAACTTTTTATTATTAGACATAACTGTTAATCAAAACACATTTGCAAATAAGTATACCTACGTCATAGGAATAGTATACCTATTACCTACGTCTATTAAATAAATAATCTTGTGAACGTTTTACATGGTAAAGAAAGTTTTGGAGTAGTTAGTTAAACTATCACTATACAATATGGATATTTCTATACATTTGTTAGGGACTCTACTAAAATATAATTAATTTTCAGGACCTTCACATAAAAGCTAGCAAATGCTTCATATGCGCACTCTACTATAGATTATTTATTAGTCTGCAATATAGATAAATATTTGGAAGTGTTTGTTAATTTGTTAAAATTTTTCTATAATAATCTTACTGACTAAATGAGAGTCATAATATTAGTCCAATTCCATTATATGAATAAATATATCTATGTACTAAACGTTCTAAAATTTAACATGTTAATTTAAATACATACAGAATTAAAATGACAAGTACTAATTATTAATCGCAATTATTTACTTGATTATTTGTTTGTTTTTATACAATAATAATTATAAAACATATTTTATAACAATGTCGCAATATTTGCCAATAATATCTTATCAACACGATATTATCTGAGTACTGAGTAACAATATCTTTTCCTAGTATGTATAAATAATAAATAGTTACGTTAAACTAACACTGAAAATTGCATTTGAAACATTTAAATATGGTATAATTTAAGGACTCACCAAAATAATTTAATAAGTAAAGTAAACCCTGGATTTCCAAGCCGGTACACACTCACATATAGAACCTCTAGACTCACTGGCAGGGTGGGAAGATGCGGGGAGCCCCTCCCGTCGTCATGGCAACAGAAAACTGCGCGCGCACCATAAAATATATTCAAACTTACCAGACATTTCTGCCAATGGTATTTACGTGTCCTGAAACTTTTGATGAAGATTTTTATTATCTTTATATATAGAAAATAATGAAAAAATCGTAAATCGGTATGGCGCCAAAAAAGGTATGTATTACTTATTAAAAATTACTTAGTAAGAGTAAAAGTATGAATAAATTTAATATTTGAACTCACAATAATATTTTAAACTATATAAGTCTTTCAAATAAATAATACACTTTCACAAAACATGTAGATATTTTTGACTAATTTTTATTATGCAATAATACGTATCAAATATCGATCAAACATTCGTCAGACGCTTCATGACTACCAAGCATCAATACATGATTTTACTAAAATACACCCTAGTAACACTTTGCACATAAAATTATTTCAAACACAAGGATCTTGTTAAAAACATTAAAAACTTAGATGTAGACGATTACAACATATCATACATATAAGATCATAAGCTTACGCTACAATATTGTATTGTAAATACCATCTATATTGTCCATACCTACTGTTAGGCATAGTTAAAAAAACTTACTAAATCATGATTGAATTTCACTTTTTTCATACTGTTTTACTACTGTATCTACTCGTATGTTTTTAGATCGTTATAAAAATAAAAAAAATATTGTTTTAAAAAAAGAAAAATCTGTACCTTTACTAATACCACCAATATTTTAGTTTAAAATATATGTATTCAGAAACCATAAATATTCAAAGCAGACCAGTACTTTTATTCATCCATTCCTTTCGTCACACCCGAATCAGCCATACTGCACATAGAGACTTCTAAATAAACAATATAACTTTTAACGCATAAATTAGCAACAATTATTATAATGCTTCAAAAAATTATCTATAAGATGAAACTTTATCATAAACCGCATATACAAGACATAACAGACTAAATAATATAATAACAACTTTGATACCTAATTTAGATCCCTAGCCCGCAAGGGACTAAGCCGGTTAGGTTTCCATTGCTATGGCGAAGTAAGTCTACCGAGAAATCACTAGGACTGCTGCTTAAACGTCTTCGAGTGAGTAAAAGTAAAGTAAAAAAAAACACGAGCTCACTGTAAATAAAAAAACAATTCGTGATCGTCTTTCTTTTAATTTGGCTATGACAGAATCATATTATTTGCTACACGTTTTATTTGGAAGCTTAATTACAGTGTTTAATCGAATTGGTAAGATCTGACTTGGAACGAGTGATCACGAACGCTATCAAAGCAAATTGCTGACAATTTATTACTAGCATCGTTAATTTTCATTAGTTTTTTGAGTTTACTTACGTTAGTGAAGATTAAATGTAATCTAAACTTGTAGTTTTTGATTTTTTCATATAAATAATATGATTTTGCCAAGCTTTGTGACTGTCTTGCACTTCTAGGTGAACTATTATTTTAGCGAATAAAGATAATGTCTATTGGCATTCATTGATATTGGTAGGTACTTAATATTTTAACTATTAAATAAATAATACTTTCTTAGATTTACGCGAATATTTGACATTTTAAATAAAACTATCTTTTCGGATTTTGTCGCGGATTTATTTGCATTTTTGTTTCCCGACGTTTCGAATGCTTTACAGCATCCATGGTCACGGGAGAGACGGAGGTGTTACATGTCTTGGATGTATAATTGTTACAGACAGCCTACCCACAATTAACAAAATGAAAATTGCACCAATTACATTACAATATTTTTTAACTTTAAACATTTTTATAATTTTAATTATAATTGAATATGGAATATTATTTATTTAATTTTTGCTATTATTTTTATAATTATTACAATTTTAAAATATTAATTAGTAATCTATATTTAGTGTTGCCATTATTATATTTATAACCATAAAGAAAAATATAAAATATAGTGCTAATTATTTAAGCCATATAATTGTTCTATGTGTAATTTAAAAAGTTAAAGTTAATTAAGGATAATTATTTTTGGCTATGTTTGCAGACAGCAGATGTTGTATTGCGACGGTGCTTCACATCAGCTATGTGTTCTTTGACCCGGGTTCTAATGGATCGCTTTGTTTGTCCGATGTAAGAGAGCCCACAATCACAATCAAGCTACCTGTCAAGTGCCACATCCCTCTACAAGATGCAGGAGTTTACAAGCTTGATTGAGTGAAGCACCGTCGCAATACAACATCTGCTGTCTGCAAACATAGCCAGGACCGCCCAAGCCATTACATTCGCTTTGATAGACCTCAAATCCTGGCGAAAGAAAACCGATATCGCCCTAGAATGATTCGAGAAGCCATAGAAATTAAAAAACATCCTAATTTCAACAGGGAAGATGGCTGGGTACTACCATCGTCATGGGATCCTGTTATTAATATAATAAAATCAAATAATAAACATAAACATAACAGACAGGTAGATGTAGTAAGTTCTTACTGTGTAGATCAAAATGACAGCATATCAGATTAATATTTTTCATTTCTCATTTGTAAAAGTATATAGTAATAGTGTTGCTTAGTAAGTTGTTTTAAATAATAGCAAACTAAATTAAAATAATTATCCTTAATTAACTTTAACTTTTTAAATTACACATAGAACAATTATATGGCTTAAATAATTAACACTATATTTTATATTTTTCTTTATGGTTATAAATATAATAATGGCAACACTAAATATAGATTACTAATTAATATTTTAAAATTGTAATAATTATAAAAATAATAGCAAAAATTAAATAAATAATATTCCATATTCAATTATAATTAAAATTATAAAAATGTTTAAAGTTAAAAAATATTGTAATGTAATTGGTGCAATTTTCATTTTGTTAATTGTGGGTAGGCTGTCTGTAACAACTATACATCCAAGACATGTAACACCTCAGTCTCTCCCGTGACCATGGATGCTGTAAAGCATTCGAAACGTCGGGAAACAAAAATGCAAATAAATCCGCGACAAAATCCGAAAAGATAGTTTTATTTAAAATATTAAATAAATATTAATAACAAAAACAATAAAAGCATATTAAAATATATGAAATTTGCCAATTATATTTTTTTTTAAATAGCCGCATGAACTACGAGGGCTGATTAAAAATATATGAGAATAAATAACCATGACGTGATATACTATAAGTATATATGTACCTACTACCTCTAAATTATTTAAAAAAAGTAAGTCGTTTTTTCACAAACTGAAAATCCTGAACAATCCCAAGTGAGTACAACCTATAAGTATTTTGTTGCGTGATTAATAAATATTTATTTAAATAAAAAAATACAAATAGACTTTGATTACTGAAAGCATTGAAATTTTAATGCGCATGAAAAAACCCAAAACACGGAAGGCATTTGATTTTACTGCCACGATAACCATTATCAAAACAGTAATATTAGACTGCAATATTGAACTTTACAGTACCATTGCGATTATTGTTACTGGTTAGGGCTTCCAATATATTTTTATAAATATATTCATAAAATGAACACGTAAAATGCAATAAATAAATCTCTTAAGTCCAAGAACCCTAAAGGATGATAAATAAATGAATGCACAATTCATCATTTGTTTTAACACCCGGCAAGCTTTAAACAAGAATATAGACGGTAGACCTAAGCGGTGGAAGGATGAGCTGGAGCCTTTGCAAAAGACTACCAGATGATCGCCACAAATATACAGAATGGAAGAAGAGAGAGATCTTTGCCCAGCAATTGGGTATTAACGCCAAAAAAATACAAGATATCCCTTCATAGCCCCCGAATTTTAAAAATTAGTTCACATTCAAAAAGAAATTACTTGGTACTTCTATTATTAGGTTATAAGCTAACTAATCTATACATATAATAAAATTGTAACAAAGCCGAATTTGTGCATTAAATATCTTTTGGAAAATCTTATTGAAATAAACATTATTAACGATACAGAGGCCGAATCTAAAGTTTTTAGAATTTTTGTCTGTCTGCCAGTCTGTTACCACATCACAGAAAAACTACTGGAGGGATTTTGATGAAACTTGGTATGGTGATAGCTGGTTATCAGGGTCAACATATAGGATACTTTAATGATGTGTATAATTCATTGTAAAACGTTGTGCTGACAATATTTTACATATTTTTGCAGTATTCTGTTAAGCTTTCATATGATAGCAGCCCTAAATGTATCGCATTTTAGCAGACACGCAACTAAACGCCGAAACGCGTATAGTAGGAGATCCTGATCTATGTGGTGGACGCCTCACTCTTTTTCCAGACTAAATATTTTTTAAACCATAAAATACATTAAAAAACATGACCCAAGTGGTTGTCACCAAAAATGTTGTCCAGGCTATTTTTAATTAAAAAAAATGTTTTTTAAGTACAAACATGATGAAACTCTTGACATGTGATAAATAAGTACCAATCGAATGTAAAAGACTTGTAAAACATTCCATCATACGTTTGGCGGCCTTTTTTGAACACTTAACCTGACATCCAGGTATAAATAAGTAAATTGAAGTATTTAGTTAAATGCTTGTATCGTTTTCCGGAACGAACCAAGTATCAAAATGTTGATAATTTTATCACAAATTTAATGATACGGGATTGTCATACCAAACAAAAAATTAACAATAAACAAGAAAAGTAACAATAAACATATTTTTTAGCACACTAGCATTGCCCGCGGCTCCGCTCGCGTTCAGATGACCAAAAACCAAATTCTTAGATGTTATATATTAGTATACTCTTACATTACAGTTTTTGTATTTTTTCTCAGAAATAAGATATTTTCCCGCGATAAAAAGTATCCTATATGTTGACCCGGATAACCAGCTATCATCACACCAAACTTCATCAAAATCTGTCCAGTGGTTTTCTCGTGATCCGGTAACAGACAGACAGACATACAAAAATTCTAAAAACTATAGATTCGGCCTCTGTATCGATAATAATGTCTATTTCAATAAGATTTTCCAAAAAATATTGAATGTACAGATTCGACTTAGTTACAATTTTATTATATGTATAGATAAAACCAGTTTCTGAGACAATCATTGCTTAGTGAATATTTCCCTGTACTGTAGTATTAAAATTTTATTTATATTGTGAAAAAAAAATAGAAAATTATTATTCTACCTTTTGAATTAAAACTTTCTGCGGCCTTGTTCTCTAAAAAACTAATCTGTAATAATATATAATATAAGTACTATTTAACGCGTAAAATGCACAAAATAAAAATTTTACCAAATTGTACACAGGACATCCTTTTTTAAGTCGGTCAATAAATATGAGGTCTAAACTTAGACCAATATTTATCATTAGATTGAATGAAATGCATTGTTTGACTTTCAACATGCACTTTATTTTTGTATCTTTAAAATAGATCAAAAGCAAAGAGAACAAACAGAAAACAAGATAATTAGTTGATATATGCCCGATTTCACCAACGTCACCTAAGTTTAAGGGATCCCCTAAGCTTGGTTGGGGGCTTGGGGCTGTTAGGGTTAGGTTAGGTTAGGTTTTCTGTTTCACCGACAGTTAGGGGTCACCTAAATATTAAAAGGCCCCCTAAATTTAGGTGCTCGAAATGTGGGCTTAAAGACGATCATAAAACAAAATTTAATTTAGGGGCTAGTTTAAGGGACTTTTAAGCTAGGGATCCCATACGTAGGTGGTAGCTTATGGGTTGTTGGTGAAATCGGGCAATAAACAAACAAAATATTAACACGCTGGCGTGTCCGCGGTCGTTTAGGGATTAACTCTCACGGGCCATCAACATGAAAATCTATTACCTTATTCCCAAAAATTTTCGTGTTTAATAGAACTAAACTCGTTATACATAATAACATAAAAACAATCGTGTCAATAAAAGACTAAAAATAGCTTAATTTTATATACATAAATGTATGTATAAATCATAGGAAGAAAAGACAATAAAATAGATGTTTGATGTGAGCGCGTCGTAAAATTTTATACGCTTGGTAAATTTGATTGTGGCTGAATTAGTTATACTTTGAATAATGGAATATATTTCTGAACCGTTTAGGAATTTAACATTCTTTTTTTTTTGAGAAAAAACTTTTGAATAAATCCAAAAGTATCTACCTAAATAATAGATACCTATAGGTACTTATAATAAAATTGTAACTAAGCCGAGTCTCTACATTAAATATTTTTTGGAATATCTTATTGAAATAGACATTATTATCGATACAGAGGCCGAATCTATAGTATTTAGAATTTTTGTTTGTCTGCCAGTCTGTGACTGCATCGCCGTGATGCAGTCACAGACTGGCAGACAAACAAACAAAACAACAATAAACCACTGGAGGGATTTTAATGAAATATATGTATTATATAATATGGGTCCGTCCCTAGGTACGTTTTAAATTAAAATTGATGTAGTATGTTATCTTTAAGAGATAGACATATGCCTTCGCGGACATTTCCTGTAAAAGTAACACAATTCCACCATACATTCTTTTTTTATATCTCAAAGGGTTTAGTCAGCGTTTTCGTTGAAACCTCCCAGACGGCTTATTTTTTTCCGACACTTCCAACAAATATCGTTATATTTTAGCCAATGTATACAAAAACTGAACAAATTATACACTAAAACGTTCCTCTATTCATTGGTGAAAGCAGCATGATAATCGGTGTAGTAGTTTTTTAGTTTATCGCGAACAGACAGACAGACAGACAGACAGACAGACAGACAGACAGACAGACAGACAGACAGACAGACAGACGCGGCTGCTGGTTATCCGGATCAATCTATAGAATGCTTTATACTGCGGAAAAATATCTCATCTCTGAGAAATCTATACTGAACGTTAAAAGGTAAGTAGAGACGAACCCGAGCGGTGCCGAGAATGAGTCGCTAGTGTTATGTAAAATAAAAAACGAATTAATAGATTTATTAAAGTAATTATGTAATTGAAAAAATACAAAAAAAAACGTTAAATAAAAAAGTTGTGTTTGTGAAAACGAAATATTTTTTATGTCAAACTTAGGGTCCATCCCAATAACCTATACCTATGTAGGTATATCTTTAGGAGTTCTTACTAACCTCAGGTATTTAACATAAGTTTCTACCTTTAATAAGAAAAAGCACAGATAAATTATTCCTAGTAATCCGGAATTTTTATATAAATTTACTATGATTGGTGATATTTTTATCTCAAATGCAAAAAAGGAATGGAATAATGATGCCAACAGAAATGGTAAAAGTAGTATGATGCCATCAGAAATGGTAAAGCTTGACTTAAGTTACATGTGATTGGAATATGTACCTACCTGTTTTGCGAATTATTCATTTTCATCATGAGATAGTTTAAAAAATATTATCTCTCTTAATCGGTCTCACTTCTCCATATTTTGTATCCTGAAAAAAAAAGTTAAATTCTTATTTGGTTACATACCGTATACTCTCTGAAGATTATGTAGGTCCAAATAATATTAATCTGTAAAGGTATTAAAAACGGGTAATGAATATCTATAAAACTTTTTAATAAGCAATGAATAAAACGTAACATTCTATTTATCTATACATTTTTAAAAATCCATTCATAAATCATAGGCCTTAATAATAAAAAAGCCAGAAATATCACTTCTAAAAATAGGACCCCTTTCTAAGCAAAATACCTTAATCAGCCGCCGCAAAGAAACTAATGTAAATTTGACTCTTGGTATAAAAGCTGTTATTAATGTCAGCAGTACAGTGGTACCGTACTGTCTTGTGCTAGCTTATACCAGACACGGGGACTAATTAGAATTTGGTGACACGCCCAACGGAACTGTAATTTACGAACTAAGTACGGTTAGCAATCATCAGTGATATCAAATTTAGTTATCAATTTTATTTATAAAATAATGAAGCTTATATGAAGTTTATCTTTTACATTAAAAAAAATGTTGCGTAATCTATACGAGTATAATAAAATTGTAACTAAGCCGAGTCTGAAAATCTTATTGAAATAGACATTTTTATCTATCTACACAGAGGCCAAATCTATAGTTTTTAGAATTTTTGTCTGTCTGTCTGTTACCGCATCGCGGGAAAATATCTCATTTCTGAGAGATTACTAATATGTAAAACCTAAGAATTTAATTTATTGGTCATCTGAACGCGGGCGGTGCCGCGGGCAATGCTAATAGAAAATATTTGTAATAGTTGTCTCTTTGTTCTATAAATTTTAAATAAGTTTTAGACTTTGCTAATGGAAAGTAATAATTTTAAATCTCACAATTAATAAACAAATGTCTGATATAATTTCGTCGCAAAAACATTTTTATTTGAATAAAAATATCCCTCGATAAAATTGACTTAATTCGTTGTAGAAATGTACTTATTATTTTTTTGGTGCCTGTTGCCTGTTAGTACTAATGCGACTTCAAATCAATGCGATGCAGTTTACACCTTAGTTAGTTAGTAACTAGAGATATGCTTTAGTAAAAAGGCACTGCAGTTAATAAATTCACAAAAGTTAAATTAATGTGTTAAAGATTGCACTTTCAATTAACACTTTATGTGAAAAATGATATAATTGTATTTAAAAATATAATGTCTTCTGACGAAGATAGCGAAGTAAGTACTTAATAAATTATAACAGCGTTCTCGCGTGTGCGTTTCCATGTGCAGCCAAAGTTTAAATCAATTAAACATCTATAAAATACGATTGGTATTGCTTTAACTGCACGCAACGAATTTTAATCGTTTATTTACGCTTGCTTCGCTCGCCTAAATCGCCAGTAATATTTATAGCTCTGTGACATGATTGTAAGCAATAAAGATCTCATAAAATAATATGCAAATAGAATATTTAACCATAAATCAGAACCTGTAAACGTTAAAACATAAAGTAGTCCGCGATTTGCCGCTCTATAGTGAACTTGTTCTTTTGGTCTTTCCAAGTTTTTATATACTTAGCTTAAAATGTTGAAGGCCATGATAAATCGGGCCTTGAAAAAGGATGATGATACAGTGCTTATAACAAAGACACTGCTACGTTTAGAAGTAGGCATTTTAGCTTTCGCTTGAAATGTTAATATGTGGAATTAAGTGAATGATTGTATAAACGTTATTTAGCAGAAGGAAACAGCTACGAAGTCCCGCGTTAATCTCGTGGAAGACGAGGCATTGGATTGGTTGAAGCCAAGAACTCTTATAAAACCCGATGAACAAGAAGAAGTCCCTGAAGCTGTGAGTTTTGATGAAAATTCTTGGACATTGGGTTTTGTTTTAAATTAGCTAACATTTAAATTACTACTTACTAATCTATACATATAATAAAATTGTAACTAAGCCGAATCTGTACATTAAATATTTTTTGGTAAATTTTATTGAAATAGTCATTATTATCGATGGGGCTCTGTGCCCGAATCTATAGTTTTTAGAATTTTTGTCTGTCTGTCTGTTACCGCATCACAGAAAAACCACTGGAGGAATTTTGATGAAACTTGGTATGGTGATAACTGGTTATCCGGGTCAACATATAGGATACTTTTTATCCCGGGAAAATATCTCGCGGGTGGAGCCGTGGGCAATGCTAGTGTTAAATAAATGAAATGTTTTATTTTAAAGGTTGTATCAGATTAGTAAACTTTTTAACTATATTTTTAATAGGAACTAGAAGAAGAAGTAGGTCGTGTTTTAACTACAATTAATCCTCGATGGGTGGCTGATGAAGTTGCATACCATTATGGTCAAGGAAAATTTGTTACTAAGTCTCGACCTACCTTTGGGAAAGCCTACCCACTTTACATCTATCAAGGAACAGCTATACGTAAAGATTCTGATGAAGCAAAAGCTCAGATTGCAGCAGGATATGGTGACTTATATTAAATAATTTTTGCTTTATTTTTTTATATAAGTTAATTAATATTCGTTACTTTTAATAACCTTTAATAAAAATGAATATTCAACAAAAAAATTCATAAAATATTGAAGTGATAATGAAATATAAACTAATCAATTACGACAGGTATGGTTGGATTTGATGACGCTGGACCAAAGCGGGCTAAAGTAAAGAAATCTGCGGCCGAGGAAGAAGAAGAAGAAGAGCCAGAACCGGAAGCTGCCCCTGACGAAGCTAAAGAAGGTATTTAAGCCTCATGGAGTCACGATTGTTGAATATTACTTATACTACTTTCATCAATATTTAACAAACGACCTATTTTTATAGTGTTTTATCAATACTAAACGTTTATATTCAAACTTTTGGACTCTTTAATTATTCACAAATAACACTAGCACATCTAATCATAATTTTTTCGAATACTATAATTTTAACATCCCACTTTAATATTGAACGTATTGTTATGTAATCAAAGAGGATGTACAAGAAGAACAAATAGCAAAGGAACATATAGAAGAAAAAGAAGTCGTTCAGTCGGAAGTAGTCGCTGAGGAAGCAGAAGTTGTTGCAGAGGAAGTCCCGGAAGAAGCGGTTCCTGAAGAAAGTAAGAAAAAAAACAAAGCCAACTTTTTTTAATAATATGAAATTGTGTTTGTTAGTCTACCCTCCGTTAACGTAGCACAAATTCATGAGCTCGAAAGTGCTATAAATATATAATAACTAGCAGAACCCGCGGCTTTGCTCGCGTTAAAACTCATCCCCTATTTACCCCTTATGGCATCCCATAACGCTATAAAATTTCAACAAATGCTAAAACACGTATTTATTTAATTATATTGAAGAGCATTAATAGCAAGTTTCAAGTAAATCTGTTCATAAATATTTTTTGGGTTGTATTATATTGTGTTTTCCCGTAGGAATGAGATAATCTCCTGCCGTAAAGCTATCTCTCTCTATACAAAAAATCACGTCAATCCGTCACTCCGTTTCGACGTGACAGAAGGGAAAACAAACAAACAAACACACACACACACACACACACAAACAAACACACAAACACACAAACAAACAAACAAATAAACAAATAAACAAAACACCAAACAAACACACAAGCAAACAAACAAACAAACAAACAAACAAACAAACAAACAAACAAACAAACAAACAAACAAACAAACAAACAAACAAACAAACAAACAAACAAACAAACAAACATACTTCCAGATTTATAATATTAGTATGGATATGTAATACTACAAATATTCCATATTAATGCCATAGTAGTACCATAGATATCCCATAGTAGATAAATTGCAAATAGTCGGACAGGAGTAACTTTTTTCTAAAAAAATATACTGTTACGACGTAGAGCTATTTAGATTATATTTGGTTTAGTTTTAACATGATTTAAAGCCTTCAAATTATTGAATATTAACTATACCATTGTTTCTCCATTGTCATTTTATTGATAATGTTACTTATTTTTTTTTATAGAAGAAGAAAGTGAACATCACGAAGAAGAAGTAATTGAAATAAAGCCGCGTGTGAAAAAGCTCGCAAATCAATTTAACTTCTGTGAAAGAGCAGCACTAACATACAATTTACCTCGAAGGGTTAGTATTTTATATTTGCTGCGATTAAATATATGAAATTTTGGAATGAATAAAGAAGTGAGTGAATGTGTGTATGTGTTTCTTCTTTAGCTAGGACATAAATACACATATGATTTTTATGAATATCAAAATATATTATTAATAGACTTCATATTTCACTTCATATTAAAGTTGAATTTGTACATATTTGTTAGGGCTAACCTCAGAAACTAATACTCAAATTTTTTTACCGTTTTCATCAATAGAAAGAGAGTTTGTCTAGAAAGGCTATAGGTTATAATTTAATAATCTGCCGGTATCATGACATCTGTAAATTAAGTCGAAAAATCCCGAAAAGATCCGAGCAAAGCTCACAAAGCGTAGATAATAAACCACTACTAAAAGATATTATATCACCGTCCTATTGGGACATTAAAAAAAACTTAACTTTATAAATATGTAGCTGGTTTTTTGCCGTTATAATTGAATCGGAGGCATCCGTTAATGGTAGACTCATTATCGGTTAGTGCGGTTTGCTACCACCATACGCACATTAGTCCCCGATCTGCTACCTGAAACCGGTTCACAGCATTGGATATACACATACTAAGTAAAAAACAGAATACGATTTTATTCGTCTATTTCTTTATGTGAATGTGATGCGAAACAAACGAACAAATATTGTAAAAAATTTTGTCGCTTTGACTCTTATTTCATCTCAAATATTCTACAATTTATTATAATTGTATAGGTATTTTCCTTATAACTTTCAGTAAATATTTAATATTATGTTATATAAAGGTACCCTAAACCCTATTGAATTTTATGATATCAGACTACCGCAGAACACAATTATAAACTTGGCCTGATTCGATGGTGAAGTTGCCGTTATGTAATTCAGATACAGTGATATACTCGTAACTTCAGATAACAATCATAAGTCGATCCGTATACCGTGCCCGTTGGGATTTGGGATGCTGCAGAGATGATCAAAATTTAATAGAAAATTTTAATTTTTCATATTATATTTTGTCCGTGTTAATAAGTAAATCAACAAATACTACTTATAATGGATTTAAAAATCAAAATATTTTAATTCTATAACGAAGCGTTACATATAACTTATATCTATTTTTATGCATAGAGGTATCTTCTCACTTTATCACTATCTTGGATCAGAACATGTCAGAATAAATTAATTTATATAATTTGTTTTTTCCCGACTGCGCGACTCAAAGGAGGGTAATGTGTTTATCAGCCTACGTATATATGTATGTACATATTTGGGTTTGTACCTTTATGTCACTATTTAGACCAAACGCGTGGGCCGATTTTGATAAATTGCATGTCGTTTGATTCGTTATGACGGCGCAAATGTCATAAAAAGCATAAAAATTTGGAAAATCAAAATGGCCGATTTTGGACACCATAATGTGAAAAAGAAAAAAATGAAAATCGACCAACTAAGTCAAGTGGGGTATCGTTGAATAGGTATTTAAAAATCAATTTTAGGTTTCTTTCATCATTTTTCATTTTAAATCACAGTTTAGGATATATAATGATTTAATGTTGGTTAGCGACCATTCTCACTAATTTTTCCTACTTAAAAAGCTGTAAATAAATAAATATATTATACACATACATACGAGTATGTACATCTCGCGGCAATGATAAAACGTGTACGCAGTACGTCTCCGACTAAATAATACTAAATTCCTTAATGAACTTGTTTTCATCTTTTTGTCAGCTTTTATGCAGTCGTTTTTTTTGTTTTAATAATATATTTATTTATTATTGATTCATTTTTAGTCAGTAGACACACAAACCATACCGCCACCAAGAGCTAACTACGGAGCAACTGTTCTTCAGTGCATAATTTTCGACTTCTATCAAGAGGACTATGCTAGAAAACAACGTGAAAAGGAAGAGGAAAAACCAAAAAGGGTGAGTTAAAAAAATCGAACAGAAAATTGTGCAAATTTTCCATTTAATTTTATTAAATGTTTAAGCAAATTTTAAAAGTTTTAGTCAATTTTCTATTATATTTTATTAATTTATTAAATGTTTTCTATTTTAAATAATAATAAAATGGAAAAAAAAATTAATCAAAGTTCTTAAGGGGGCACCGAGCTTTTTATTTTAGTAGGACGACAGCGGGCAGGGAGTGGGGGGTGGCTAGGATGGACGGAACGCGTGCGAATTTAGGTATTTCTTTCGTATTATTAAAACAAATACACATTTCGAAAATGCAAAGTGTATACGTTATAGAAAACGTATAGTTTTGTTATTATGAAAAAACTGATAAACTTCCTTGAATCATTTACGCCGCATTAAGGGTTTGTTTTGTTTTTTAGAGATCACTTTCAAATTTTTTTCTATCGAGGAAACTACAAGTAATCGTGTTTCTAAAGTATACGATTTATAGAATAAATCCTTAAATATTTTACAAATTAACTGTATAATTAAAGCTTTAGTAATAACAATACAGGAAGGGATCAAACGAACGCAATTATTTCGTAATTGCCGCGGTGCGCCCTTAAGAATTGCATGATTCGATAATTACTTAACACACTAAACTAAGTAGATTAAAATTTCATCTGCTGTTTTCTAAGCAGGCACACAACTGATTTTGAGCTTTTTCCTTTATGGATAAGGCTTTAAGAAATTAAAGATATGTTTTTACAATATCTGTTGCAGGTTCGTAAAAAGACAGCGAAACATGTGAAATCAGCTCAACAAATACACGATGAACAACTAGCACAGCGCATTCGAGAGGCTTGGACCATTTTAGAGAGATTAGTCAATCAGAATATTTATGATGATATCGGTGAGTTTTTATAAATATTAAAATTATTAATGTACAGGAAATAAAAATGCTAATTTCGTATTAAAAGACAAACATTCTTATAATAACATTATTGTGTCTCAAATTACTTTACTGCACTCAAATCATTTTTTTTACTCGACGTTATTAAGTCGAAAGTTTAGTGCTACGGCCAATCTCACTGAAACTGCGCAAGAGATAATATAGAACACAAGTGTACGCGCAGACACTAGTGCACTCTCTATTCCTTTTACTCTCAAATTCCGATAAGCCGATAATTTGACACGACCAGTGAGAGCAGGGAGATCGGCACAGGACCGACGACTCTCCGAGGCACGGGGGTGAAACACTGCCAACTTCCCAACTCCGGGCTGTTACTGAGATTTTCTTAACAGAAAGACTCAATAACTAAATTTGGCCCGACCCGGGACTCGAACCAAAGACCGCCAGAGGTGCAGCGTGCATGCTAACCACACCACCAAGGCAGTTAGTGTTTGGTGGATGCACTATAATTTAGCTGTAAGTTTTTATATTGAAAATATGAAACTTTAGAATAGCATTTTGGCTCCTCAGCTCAAGACTATCGTTATTGGGACGACCCTTCAGATGAATTTCGTGAAGGAATGGGGTCTTTACTTCCTTTATGGAAGTTTCAATTTGAGCCTATGAGAAGTCACGCGATTTGCGACGTCCAATGGAATCCGCATTATCAAGACTTATTCGCTGTTGCTTACGGGTCATGTATGTGTGCTTACTTTTATTGATTTACTAGCATTTCCCGCGGCTCCGCCCGCGTTCAGATGACCGAAAACCAAATTCTGAGATTTTACGTATTAGTATACTCTTACATTGCAGTTTTTGTATTTTTCTCTGAAATGAGATATTTTCCGGCGGTAAAAAGTATCCTATATGTTGACCTGGATAACCAGCTATCACCATACCAAATTTCATCAAAATCCTTCCAGTGGTTTTTCTGTGATGCGGTAACAGACAGACAGACCAAAATTCTAAAAACTATAGATTCGGCTTCTGTATCGAGAATAATGTCTATTTCAATTAGATTTTCCAAAAAATATTTCATGTACAGATTCAGCTCAGTTAGAATTTGATTATATGTATAGATGTACATATATTACGATAAAGCAGGCGCGATAAAACATTTTATAAGTTTCTAATATATTTCTAGAACTGAAAAACAACGCTATAAATAATAATTAATTATAAAGTAATAAATGTTCAAAATCTTATTAATAGATATTTTTAATAGGATTCTCTAATAAGTATGTACCTAACTGCATTATTAATAGTAAATTTTATTTTTAGTGGATTTCACACAACAACAAAAACAGGGCTGTTTGTGTTTATACAGCATTAAAAATCCAGCTTATCCGGAATATTCTGTAATAACTGATTCACCTGTTATTTGTCTCGATGTTTACAAGGAAACCCCTTATCTCATTTGCATTGGTAAGGCCAAGGCCAAAATATTATCATATTTTATGTAGGTATACTATAAATTAATGTATATTTTATCGTGATTTCCATATGTCTTAAATTATTAAAACAGTATAACTTATTTGTATTAAATTTTATTTTATTATTAATTTGTCCTTCATAATTTCACATTCATTTGTATTCCAGGGCGATATGACGGCAACGTATGTGTTTATAATGCTCAATTAACTCTAGAGTCTTCATACCAATATAAATCTGACTCTGTGAGAGATAAACATAGCAATATCGTCTGGGAGGTGAGAAATAATAAAGCACTATATATCTCACTAGCATTGCGACACCGCCCGTGTTCAGATGACCAAAAACCAAATTCTTTGGTTGACATATTAGTATACTCTTACTTTGCAGTTTTTGTATTTTTTCTCAGAAATGAAATATTTTCCCGCGGTAGAAAGTATCCTATATATTGACCCGAATAACCAGCTATCACCATACCAAATTTCATCGAAATCCCTCCAGTGGTTTTTCTGTGACGCGGTAACAGACAGACAAAAATTCTAAAAACTATAGATTCTGCCTCTGTATCAATAACAATGTTTATTTCAATAAGATTTTCCAAAAAAATATCTCATGTACACATTCTTATGCTTAGTTACAATTTTATTATATGTACTAGCGACTCACCCTCGCTTCGCTCGGGTTCGTCACTAGGCTAATTCCCCAAACAAAATTTCTTCGCCATTTTCCCCTTAAGGGATGATTTCCAGGATAAAAAGTATCCTGTCTTTCCCAGGGTCTCAAACTATCTTCTTACCAAATTTCATCTAAATCGGTTAATTAGATCCAGAGACTACCCCTACAACGTCACAAACTTATAATTCACAAACACTACCTCTTTATTATATATAGATAGATAAAAACTAAACAGAGGTTATAATTGTCCTATATATAATTGTAAAATACATAAATCTTCTTTTTGCACCGTGACTTTTTGCGTTAAATATCAGGTCATCCAAGGGCCAACACGTTTGGCCACGAATGCTCTTAATAACAACTATATAGGGCATCGGCATAACTTACCGTGACACGGAAATGGTCAGTTGTCATGCTACTAGGCTATCTATCCATCAAGTGACTTCGACTATTTATTAAGATCCCTTGCTGAAAGTGTTTAATAAATTTTGTATAACTACTTTTAAATTTTACTATTTTTGTATGATGATAAATAAATATATAGATAATTTATTAAGAATGTTTTAAAATTATTTGTATGTAAATAAATAAATATGCTAATGAACATTTTTTTATAAACTTTTTTAGCATCCACTCAAAAAAAAAAGCATACCACGGCTATGTATCATCTTACTAATATTACGTATAAATGCGAAAGTTTGTGAGGAAATCTGGATGTATGGATGTTTGTCACTCTTTCACGCAAAAACGACTGAATGGATTTTAATGAAATATGGATTTGACAAAAATGGATTTTTTTTCTAGAGGTGAAACTGAGCTAAGTGAGGGTGAGCCGCTAGTGTGACTATAATAGAGCCAAAATAAATTGGGAGCTCGAAAAATCCCTGTTCAAATAACGCTAGCGTCAAAATAAGCTGAAAATCTTACTTTAATTACAGATTCGTTGGGGAGCCCGTTTGATAGATGGTGAACCGTCCTTCTTCTCGATATCTGGTGACGGGCGTGTGGTGCAGTGGGCGGTTATGCCCGGGGAACTGCAGGCCACCACCATCATAACCCTGCACTCCAGTGTGCCCCCCATACCTGGGCCAGATGGCACTTTGATCACCGTTAATAGTAAATAATTTAATCACATTTTCATGATGATGATGTTCTCCTGACTGATTCCGGCCACGGCGGCCAATCTCATTGAGACTAGCCAGCTGAGCAGGAGATATTATAGCGTACAAGGGTGAAAAACCGCCAACTTCCCAACTCCGGGCTGTTACTGAGACTTGCTATACAGAAAGACTCAATAACTAACTTGGCCCGACTCGGAACCCAGGACCTCCGAGTCTGCAGCCGTACATGCTAGCCACTACACCACCGAGGCAGTTGGTTTTTCATATCATCTCACAGTTATATCAGTATTGCTGCAGATCTGGAGTTTCTAGGAACGAGTCCAGATTTATACCAAATGTAGGTATTTGGTTTTTCTGTTAAAAAATTCAGTAATGACCCGGATTGAAGAATTAGCAGTGACCTTTGCACTTGTGTTACTTTTGTTCAAGAAATCTCATGCGCCCTTGTAACCAAGGCTTTATGTCAGTGAGAAGGACAATTATTTTAAATTGAGTATATTTATATGTTGAGTATCTATGCATATAATAAAATTGTAACTAAGCCGAATCTGTACCTTAAATATTTTTTGGAAAATCTTATTGAAATAAACATTATTATCGATACCGAGGCCGAATGTACAATTTTTAGAATTTTTGTGTCTGTGTCTGTCTGTCTGTTACCGCATCACAGAAAAACCACTGGAGGGATTTTGATGAAACTTAGTACATTGGTGATAGCTGGTTATCCGGGTCAACATATAGGATACTTTTTACCGCGGGAAAAAGTCTCATGTCTGAGAAAAAATACAAAAACTGCAATATAAGAATATACTAATATGTAAAACCTAAAAATTTGGCTTTTGGTCATCTGAACGCGGGCGGAGCCGCGGGCAGTAGCTAGTATTTATATATGACTCCGGGTTCTAAGAAAACATTTTTTTGTTTTCATATTATTTTGGCCAGAATTACGTCTAGATATTTTTTTAATTTAATTATACTTTCAGTTTGTTTTTAACTCGACCGAAGATTTTTATGAACTTTTTCGCTATCCTCTATAGTTCCTTTTTCAAGTTGGTATTGATTTTGCTATCCACGCCCACTTGGAAAATTCAACTGTTGGCGTATATTGAATATTTTATCCCAGAAACTGTATATTGTTTGTATTCTGAATGATAAATTTATATAAATCCATAAAAGTCATGTAATTAATTTCATACTCGAATCTCGATTGCCATTTTAAGAAAAAGATATTATTTTCTACAAATTAAATCATAAAATGAATTAAGTCACTGTAAGTTTACCACTTCATTCCAGTTTTAATTTAAATTCGTTTTGCAACATTTTTAAATATACAAAATTACGCTTTGCATTATTATGCCCCATCGTTACGATTCAATAGGTAAGTGATTTGCATATGCGACGACACGCTTGGCTCAGTTTGTAGTGAACCTACTCTCTGTGCCAGCGGTCGCGGGTTCTAGTCCCACTGGGGGCATTCATTTGTGTGATGACGAATGTTTGTACTCCAGTCATGGGTGTTTATATTTATAATATGTATGTATTTAAAGTTATATATGTGTAGTGTATCAACTAACTGGTATCCATAACACTAACCTCGTAGCTTACCATGGAACTGCATAGATGGCGCTGTGTGTTAATGTCCCAACGTATTTATTTATTATATTATTTATTATATGTTAGTTTAGTAGCACTTCAGGCCGTACATGTGTAATGTGGTCGAAGCAATGCAAAAAAATTATAATTAGAATCAAGATTGTATATACTTCTATAATATGTATTATTCTATCCAATTATTTGTATCATATAATATGTTCTATGTACGTATGTCTAGACTTCCAATAGTAATTAGACAGTATTCTGTGTTGTCCTTTGTCTTGTTATGTAAGAGGTAACGATTTCGATTTTTAAATTCCTGTTAGTTAAACAATTTACACCACTTAGGGATAGGCCACCTTAAGGATCGGAAAGAACCAAAATGCTCCTAAAACATTCTTAAGCAATCTCCTTTTATAGATATTGAGGCAACTTTCTCTCTTTCTAACCAACTACCCTAGAAGGAAGAGGATAATTTTTTTTGTTCACGTAGTTTGCTATACACTATAAAATATTTTTATTACTATATAGGCTGTGGAAGTTGCATCTGCTTTCATCCAGAGAAACCAGATATCTTCATGGTCGGCACTGAAGACGGCATGATACATACGTGCTCGTTGAAATACAATAGGAATTACGTTCGATCAGTGCAAGGACATCACATGCCCGTATATAGGATTCACTACAATTATTTTAATAATAGCATATACGCTTCTTGTTCTGGCGATTGGCGGGTCAAGATCTGGGAAGATGGACGGGAGTAAGTTGTTTTATCTTTGTTTATTTTAATTATCAAAATACATATATTTAAAAAAAAACGTGTGTGTGTACGCGCGTAAGAAGTTGTACTTCTTTGGCTAAACAGAACAAAAATATCTGCTAAAGATTTGATACCGTATGTCACAACTCTCTGTTTGTAAAAGGAATGCAGCTAACTTCATCATGTCGCTTTTTGGCTGTCGCTGTGTGCGCGCGCGCATCGTAGAAATTTTACTCTTATATTTTTTTCCAAACGTGCCAAAAGAAGTATAACTTCAAAATTGTCTTTTTATTTATTGGGCTTTAAATTTAATTCAAGTTCTTTTAAGTACTTACAAGTTATAACAAGATATGTGGTGATTATGTTATCTTATAACAATAATCTTATTAATATTGGGTATACGGTTAATTACTTAGATATGTACTACTAATTATCATTGATTTAATCTAATCCGTAAATCAAACAAAATTATGTAAGAACTACTTATCAGTCTCCCTGTGGTTAGCTCATAAAGACTAAGGTCCTAGGTTTGAATGCTGAGCTAAAAGAATGAAAATTGATGAAATTTTCTTAGTTTATATTAGAATAATTCTAATAAATTTAGATTTAAATTTAGCAAAAGTTCCGCTTTAAAAAGGTTTTTCAATACTTTAACACTATATTCTGAACTATTTCCTAAATAAATATAGAGATAATACATAATATAGAAATACTGTAAAGCTCTACTTACACGTTATAAATCGAAATACCTATTTGTAAGGTACAATAAATATTCTATTTATCCAGTGAGCCGCTGTTTATGTTTGAGTTGGGCTCACCTGTGGGAGATGTGAAGTGGGCGCCTTATTCTAGCACAGTCTTCGCAGCGTGTACTGCTGATGGAAAGGTATTTTTTAGATAATAATGGAGTATATAGTATTTAGGAATAAGTTTTTTTTTTCTTTCAATAAAGTACCAATTCAGAGCTTTTCATGCGACGCTATTGGATACTTATTTATGTTAGATAGGTACATGTACAATGTGCATATTTACGCATAAATAAATATGGGAACCCGCGACCGCTGGCACAGCAAGTATGTTCACTACAAAGTGAGCCAAACGTGTCGTCAAAATAAAAACTCATATTTGTAGGTACCAATACATTTTCATTTAGGTATACATTTTCTGTTATAACGTAATTTTACAAAAAAAATTATACTATACCTGTCAACGACCGCCGAGTCACCGGCGGCTCGGTTAGCAATTAATTTTAATTTTATTTTCTTAGAAATTAACCGCGAGTTGTCAATCTACTAACTTACATAACAATGTAATCTATACATATAATAAAATTGTAACTAAGCCGAATCTGTACATTAAATATTTTTTGGAAAATCTTATTGAAATAGACTTTATTATCGATACAGAGGCCGAATCTATAGTTTTTAGAATTTTTGTCTGTCTGTCTGTTACCGCATCACAGAAAAACCACTGGAGGGATTTTGATGAAATTTGGAATGGTGATAGCTGGTTATCCGGGTCAACATATAGGATACTTTTTATCGCGGGAAAAAGTCTCATGTCTGAGAAAAAATACAAAAACTGCATTGTAAGAGTATACCAATATGTAAAACCTAAGAATTTGGTTTTTGATCATCTGAACGCGGGCGGAGCCGTGGGCAATGCTAGTAAGATCTAAAACATGATCTTTATCTGAATATAATCACTCAGATATCAACATACCTAGTTTACCTGCGTAAAATTTACATTTCCACACATGTACGAATCCCTTACGAGCATTGATATTCCATTTTGTACGTGGAAATTTGATTATGAATCTTCCATTGCACCCATGTGTGAGCATCGGTGCAAACCTGATTGAATTTCGTACGCTCAGTTCGATCTCGCAGTACGCTCGCTTGTTTGATTGCTAATCCCATAAAGGTTTACTTACGCTAAATGGTCAAAGAGCATGCAGCATGAAGGAATCAATTAGATGCCTATTTTATTATTAACCAGATCTGTTATTCGCATAAATATATAAAATACTAGCATTGCCCGCGATCAGATGGCCAAAAACCAAATTCTTAAGTTTTACATATTAGTTCCAAGATTTCTGGAAGAAATTTGGCATATAGATAGATTAGTCTGGAATAGCACATTCGTAACTTTTTATCCCGGAAAAATGTACGGTTTCCGTGGGATATCCATACAAAACATTAAAACGTACCTAGGGACTAGCCAGACGACACGAGCGTGAGTCGCTAGTAGTTATACTTATAAATCAATAAATAATAATAAATTATAATCAGTAAATTATAAATAATCAAAACTGCAAAGAGCATAGCATGTAAAATGAAGACTCATTTTCACGTGCATTATAAAGTAGTTAGGTATATATACATACAGATATGAATATTCTGCCATTTTTCAAGATTACTATACTACCACCAAACTACTTCATCAGTTAAAGTCCAAGCTTCCAACGGCAAAAATGTAATAAATGAACATCAAACATTGAATAGAATTAATTCTTTATTTTCATCTGTCTACCAATAATAGTAATTTTTAAGCTTTTATTCAACTTATTTCAGAATTTTTGTCTTTTGACAGGTATATGTTTATGACCTAAATGTGAATAAATACCGTCCCATATGCGTGCAAGCGGTTGTTTCAAAGAAGACCAAGAAACTCACGAGAATCGACTTTAATCCACGACTGCCAGTCATGGTGTGCGGAGACACTAAGTATGATTATAATTATTATTATCCTTACATAGTATAAAATGAAGTCGCTTCCGCTGTCTGTTCGCATAGATCTTTTAAACTACTCAACGGATTTTAATGCAGATTTCAGCAATAGATAGAGTGATGCAAGGGGAAGGTGTATATGTATAATACATGCATATTATAGTACAGAAAAGCCGAGAAATTCAAAGATTTGTATTTTAGTTTTAGTTTACTAACCGTCAAAACGTGCCTAGGGACGACGAACCCGAGCGAAGCGAGGGTGAGTCGCTAGTATTTATATATTTCTCGGGTTAAGAGTAAAAATAAGCGTTTCGTTTACGTTAAAATATGATTTTTTGTATTTATTTAGTAGTTATCTAATAAAAAAAACGTATAATTAATATATACAATTATTAATATACCTATTAATAATGATAATATCTATAAATAATAATATGAATTTCAATTTGAGCGGCATACATATTTTCCAATATTACAATAACAATATCTTTAGCTATTTCAATATGCTTCGCATCGCCTCCATAGCTCAGGGGTTAGAGCACTGGTCTTGTAAACCAGGGGTCGAGAGTTCAAATCTCTCTGGGGGCATCATGGTTTATTCATTTTATAACTTTTATTTAATGTAAAATTCGATTCGGTTATATTTTAAAAGATATAGTTATACTTTTATTGAGCCTTTTTTTTAAATAATAAAAAAAACCTAATATTGTGTACTTTAAAAAATATTTGATATACTTAATAAAATATAAGTATTCGTGATAAATGTTTTAATATGACTTTTTTATTACAGAGGCACGTGTCATGTAGTAAAATTATCACCTAACTTAAGGGTTATGTGTAAACCACCGAAAAAGGCGCAAGGGTTAGAACAAAGAACTTTACAGGTAATATAAAATGCAAAAACTTTTTTACTCCATTAACTCTGTCACACTGTAAACCTTAGAACTAAGAATTAAAGTTGTTTGGCAAATAATTACAACAATCATTTTTATTTGTAAAAATCCATAAAAATATGAATGTGAATGTAACTGTCTGTCTGTTACCTTTTCACGTTTTAACTGCTGAACATATTTCGATGAAATTTCACAAGGATTAGGATGACATCATGACATCATGGGAACAATACCTTTTTTCTTGTCCCACTTGTCACGCGAGAAGCCACGGGCAAAAACTAGTATATACAATAGTGTTGATGCTTTAGCTTGCAGTTCATCATAAAAGTTTAATTTATATTTTATAATTTTTCTATTTCAGATCATGAAGCTGGATAAACTTTTGAGTTTAGTGCGTGACCCGCCATTCCAAACTGGGGTTGTTGATGAAAAGTTTGATGACGATTAACTCATATGAACAATTTTATATCCTATACTTATACTTTAGTTATCAGTTTATGAATAAAACAAATAAACTTTGACTTGTGATTTATTGACTAGTAAAGCTTCACATAAATAGCGTTTATTTATCTAAATACATAATTATTATAATTATAGAAGATATAAAAATGAGCTAAAATGTATGATTTAGACAGAATAATTCTTAGGAAATAAACAATTTGTAATGTTGGTCAAATATTATCATATTATAAGCAATAAAACCATAAATGTATTGACCATCTATACATACATATAATAAAATTCCGAGTCGAATCTGTATGTTAAATATTTTTTGGAAAATCTTATTTGAATAGTCATTATTATCGATACAGAAGCCGAATCTATAGTTTTTAACATTTTTGTCTGTCTGTCTGTTTGGGAAAGCATAAGAAAACCACTGAACAGATTTTAATAAAATTTGATATGCTGGTTATCCGGGTCAACATATAGGATACTTTTTACCGCGGGAAAATATCTCATCTCTGAAGAAATGTATACTAAACGTTAAAACGTATCTAGCGACATTATTTTTTTTTACTTAAAACATACAACCTTGACTACGGCTTTAAATTATTCTGCCAAAAAGGAGATAGACTCTAAAAACAAAACAATCCCATTCAAAACGGGTTATAATTTAACAATATGGACTAGCATCATTAAGAGATCAACATACATACATCACTACTTACATTTCTTTAACAAGCCTTAATTTAAATTGCTTAAACATTGCTTTGAATTCACAATCACAGAGTTATTTTAAACTGTGTTTCGGTGATTAATAATCTATATGCATTTTTATTAGCGTGTTAGTTTGTGATTTGAAAATAAGCTCATATTATACTTATTTTTATTATACAAAAAATGTAGGAAAATCGAAAATTCATTGGTTTTTAGACTTTTTACATTTAATTTTGCTATGTTTAATGGGTTATTTTGTTAATAACTAAAACCAGAAACTATGATTTCTTTTGATTTAAAATTCACAGTTCCTGAACAAAAGTAATCTCATATGTAACAATTCTCTTCTTCTCTTCCAGCTCTAATATTATTTCTTAAAAGCCTACTTCCTTTGGTGTTAAGCTCTTAATCTAGATATCTTACAATAATAATTAAAAAAAATACACTTGATTTTAAAGCGAAGATGTTCTAAAGTGCTATTAAAAGTAATGAAAGAGTAAGAAGTATAAAATACACAAGGTGTAATAATTTTTAACAGATAGTGATACAGAACTAAAAGTCACTTAAAATTAATAATTCCTTCAAAGACTTTTATAATTTATATGGACATAATCTAATCCATTCATTATAAAAAAGAGTCATGAAAACTGATCCACACCTGACGATCATACAACAAGTAACATATCCACAAAAAATATCAGACAAATTGAATATCCTCCCTTTTTGAGGTAGGTCAATGATGATCATTCCTTAGGTGAGCGTCAAATGGGATTTCTACGTGAAACGGACATGAAAACCACAAAATGTTCATGTTTTCGATTTTAATAATATTTGATTATGCTAAAATTTGTATGGGTCGCAGGGAAATAGTAAAAACCGTTAAATTATAATTTTACTAGTGAATTTATATTTGTATATATAATTTCAATTTTCAATTCAATTCCTTTATTTCACTAAGTCTTAGTTCATGCTGCGCATCAAAAAAGAGATCTAAATCGGCTTTAATTATTTAATGAAATTGTCAAAATCTCATTCATTCACAATATCACTGAATGTGCTTAGTAAAATTATAATATACTAAAATTGTCCCGTGATATTGTAAAATAAGGAGACGATTGACATAAATCCTGGTAATTATAATTGCACGGTTTTTACAATTTACCTGCGACAAATACATCAGATCCAAACACAAAATATTTTTTGCCGAAATGCTCAAGTGTTATCCGAAATAATAACATGGCGGAACGTTAGTAAGCAATAAAGAACTCGTTCGACATCGAATAATTTTAAATAGGCAACCTCCAAAGACCTGCCTATTGCAAGATTCTACACAAACTATCATAAAACAAAAAAGAGTCCTTATATCCATACTAATATTATAAATGTGAGCGTGTTTGTTTGTCCTTCTTTAACTCTGAGATTATCTCATTCAAACGGGAACACAAGTTATAATACAACCCACAACAACTCGTCATACCTATGTATGTATATTGTATATATCTAATATTCCATACTAGTTAAAACGTACCTAGGGACGAACCCGGGCGAAGCGAGGGTGGCCGTTAGTTATATTATAATTTGACATGACAAAAATGCTATTTCTATTATATCTAACCCATATAATATATTGTGCTCAAAATTTATAAATAATCTATACTTTAAGTCAAATCTTTCTAGTGGCAGTGTGTTTTATTGTAATTTTCTTACATATATGTATATATTATTATTCTGCTGAGACGTTTTTTGCACAGACAGTTGTATTGTCGCTTTGTACTTTTGACTGTGTATAATAATAAAATTATAGAAAAGTACATTGAGAAAGTTAAAATAAAATGAAAAAAAAATCATAAATAAGATAATTGACTATCTGTCTGACTTCTAGAAATATAGATATTTCTTGTTCATGCCCCTCAGATGTTGTCCTCCCATAAATCTAGCCTTGATAATAATATTTTATAACAAAATTACTATTACATAAAATACCTTTAACATTAAAAGCTCATTCGATAAAATGATCTTTAGATAAATGATTGGTAAATCTGTAGGCACGGGTGTTACGATTATGGGTAAATGAGTTTCGATCCTATTTTATCACTTCTGTCAACAGCATTTGGTCCTAGTTTGATGTCTAGGAAAGCGCGTGCATCGTTCGGCGCCGGAGCTTGGCGGCCGACGAATTGAATCTGTAATAAATTAAATAAAAAATATATATTAATAATATACATATAAATAGAATATCCTTTTTTAAATCAATTATGCTCATACACATAACTGTAATAACAATACAAATATTTGTAATCAATTTTTTTTTTGTATTTCTTTTCCATCAGTTGCTATGTTTTGATATTAGAATAAGATCAATTTTATCAAAATATTATTTTATAAACTTTTACAACCTTATTGTATGAGCTATTCTTAAAATTATTATTTAAAAAAAAAACAATTAAGAAACGTGTGTACTTATGTACGCACGTAAAAAGTTATACTTCTTTGGCGTAACAGAACAAAAATAGCTAAAGATTTGATCCCATATGTCACAACTCTGTTTGTAAAAGGAATGCAGCTAACTTCATCATGTCGCTTTTTGGCTGTCGGTGAAAACATGCCGAAAGAAGTAGAACTTAAAAAAAAGAATTATAATTAAAAAAAACATATTTTACTTGAGCAAGTGGATGGAGATGTCTTTCAGGAAACTCGCGTTGATGAGCCAGGACCCAGTCTGCAGGCCACATTGTACCATTTTTTGGAGTAAATGGCAGAATTAAGACGTAAACCCTATTTGTGGCAGAATATGCTACTCTGTAGTAATGCCCTTTGGTTGCTCTCTCCCATACAAAGCCATCGTTATCTGGGCCACCCCTCTGCAGCCATGACACTCGGGATAAGTCTGCTGCGTGGATACCAATTTCTGCGTACTCGACCCAAGGAAGTAAATCACCGCTGCAAGTAAAATTGAACCGTAAATAGTTTAACATTAGGTACCATTATGTGAAATGAGCCCTACTCCGTTTCAGATAGTCTTAAATAATAATAAAATCCAAATACCTTGTCATGTACCATCGTACGGCCAAAACACTGCATAAACGTTGCCCTACAAACCTCAAGCAGCGCCGACGAGACGAGATCAAGTGCCGATGAAAGCGCAGCAGCTACCTAAATTTCTAAATTCAATCGATGTCATGACCGTATCTTCCTAGAGTAAATGCAGTATAAAAGGCATTACTTGCTTGCTTCCTTACTTACTTGATCTAACATCGACCAGTAGTCACCTAGTTGGAAGTAGCCATGTAATTAGTAATAATTTCTAAATAATAAAAATAATTTAAGTAAATTCTTATTTCTTTGCATCTCCTTGCTGCTCCCAACGTAATGTACCTTATAAATAATAGTGTTAACTTCTACTTTTTATTTATATAACATAAATAACCCTTTTTACTTCATCTCTTCAGAATATCCATAACATTCTTCTGTACACCCACATTTCATACATAACGACTTAACACCTCTAGGTAAATTTCTAAGAAATTAATTAAATTTCTAAGAAATCTATTGTTAACTGACCCGCTGGCGTGTCCGCGGTCGTGGAGGGAATAATATATATTACGTCAACCAACTAACCACGACATAACATGTTCTAAACTGGCACGCTTCGAAGCCATTAACAAGAAATATATAATACATAAACCTGACTATATAGAGGCAAGCATAAGTCTAACATACTCATATATAGGTAATACTTACTGTACAACAGCCCCTAACAACGATGTAGTTTCCAACCAACACCTGGCCCCGGCCTGCAGCAACGCTCGCAGTACGTGCCCGGTGGTACGCCGTATGTTACGTAAGCAACATGGCGGTGTATTACGCTTAGCCAAAACATATGACGGGGTTCTTTGAACTGGCGGAAAACATCGCTGGAAAATAAAAATATCTCATATATAGTGATAGTACGAGTTACTTTATATTCTAATGGATCTATTAGCTTTTGTGCTTAGGAGTTAATATTTCTTTTGCATATGATTAATGACACGTTTAACTCAGTTTGTAGTGACCCTACTTGCTGTGCCAGCGGTCGCGGGTTTAAGTCACGCTGGGGGCATTCATTTGTGTAATGAGCACGAATGTTTGTACTCCAGTCATGGGTGTTTATATTTATAATATGTAGTATTTAAAGTTATATATTATGTGTAGTGTATCAGCTATCTGGTATCCATAACACAAGCCTTGTTAAGGAAAAGCAAGGTAGCAGCAGATTATAACTAAGTTGTTTTTCACACTTTTGGATCAACAAGCGCACATGGTTTTCACATAGAATTATACCTAATATGTATATTGTATTATGGATTGTTAACACCTCCAGGTAAATTTCTAATTAATTAAAATTCTAAGAAATCTATTGTTAACTGACACGCCGGCGTGTCCGCGGTCATGGAGGGATTAAGTTTTGTATCACATTCAGAAGGGATCAAGGTCAGCATAATAATGAGTGGGCCCTTAACACTTGACCACAATAATTAGTGTATTTAATTTGTTGTAATTTGAGTACATTAATATAAATTGCAAATATATGTTAAGTTACCTGAGTTTCTCTTTTACAACCAAACCACTGGACTCTACCATCTTCCTTTACAACAGCTTTTACCCCAAGCTCCTTATAAAGTTCTACACGATAATCCCTTAACCTTTTAGAAGCCTTTTGCTTCGATGCTGGTGTCTTTAAGACACTTCTGCCAGCACTAAATTTACCATCCAGTACTTGTACCTAAAATATGAACAATATTGTGAAAAGTATGATAATAAACTACTATTTATAAAATATAGTCTTATATGGGTGTACCTTAATTTTTCTGATTGCTGTCTGTAAATATAGTGATTCAGGGAAAGGAAAAATAAATGGTTTCGGTAATGTTTGCAAGATTGATGTCTTGATCAATAAAGCATGTTGGCCCTGAACAGCATCACACAATTTCTTAGAAGAATCTTTACTGTACTGCAATGTCCAATTAGCATATGCCCACTTTAGTTGCTGACAAATTATACGAGCATTACCAATTCCTACAGCTATTGCTTGAGAAGTAAATGTTGTTGCAGCCACAGCCATTTGTTGAAACACACGCCGAGATACACGAGTGGAGTCAGGAACGAATAATACATATTCTGTAGAAACATATGAAAACGGATCCAGACTGCTTGGCGCGGAGTCTAGTTTTAACTCTAACGATATAAGCCTAACATTTCGTAAGGTTATGTTTGTAGCTGAAAACTGAAAAGGTGGATACTGCCTTCGTTCACATAACACCAGGACCGGTATGTTCGGGTATGCAGAGACAAACGACTGAACACTTTCTGCGATATCATTTTCAAAGTCTTCAAATTGTCGAAACACAACAGTGACTAATTTAGATAAATGCCGTGTTGAATGAGAATGAGCTAAACTTGAAGAAGTGACTGGAGCTATGGGATATATTTTATATTGCGGGATGAGATAGCCGCACAGTAAAATAGCAATTATACCTAAGAGAATGTACACTTTGAACGTTAAACGACCGCGTAGAAGGCGATGAAACATTTTTTATATTAATTTTAAAATATACATATTAAATTTAATATCTGAATGACAGCGTAATTAGAAACGCTAATTATTTTCGCTTGAAATAAACTTATTATTTATTGACATATTGTTTGATTCAATCATTTTATATTTCAGTCCTTCTATTTACATTTATTTCCTTTCTGTATTTACAATTTAAAGATTATAGACTAAAAATTTAATTTCCACAGGTAATATAAAATATATCCAAAGACAATAAATAACATATCTATCTATGCCATAATATGACTAAAAATCAAATTAATATCTATGAAGATATTGAAAGAAGCTATTCACGTAACGATTTACTTATATGCACCTCTTCTATATTCAAATATAAATTTAGCTATTTTATTTCCTTTGTTCTTTCTGTTTTTTGAAAAACTTTATTTTTACTAAAACTTTATTTTTACTGTAATATTTATAACTAAAGTAAATAACTGTAGGAATCTATTGTAAAAATATAATATAGATCCGATCATAGATCCTTAATCGTGGGTAGTTGTGGCCGTACCATACAATAAGTAACCTTTTCAGTCGTGGCCATGGGTTGTGGGTACTTTTATTAATCATCCATGGTTATCGCCATAGAGATGTATTATCTCTATGGTTGCCGCTAAACGAATATTTTTTATCTATGAAAAACGAGTAAAAATTGCTAATGTCATTTTACGTCAGTACGTGTATTCAATTGGAATCTATATAATTTTTCTCATTCAGTTCATATAACTTGTTATTGCTATAAATTTTTGTGAAAAATGGATGATGAGTTATCGGGAAATTGCGAACCTTTAGATTTAGAGCCTTCTCTAAAAAATGTAATAGAACAGAAATCTCTACGATGGATATTTGTTGGAGGGAAAGGTGGGGTTGGAAAAACTACATGCAGGCAAGTTTTTTTTAATGTTAGCTATTTATTATTATTATTACAAGTAAATAATTGAATCACGAAACAATTTTTATTCTTACAGCTGTAGTCTCGCTATTCAACTGTCCAAAGTCAGGGAATCTGTACTAATAATTTCTACAGATCCAGCCCATAACATTTCGGATGCTTTTGATCAAAAATTCTCAAAAGTGAGTAAATTTTAACCTTATATTCTCTTTTATTATTTTAGAGATTGTTGAATAATGGTTGTAATTATTATAGGTACCCACAAAAGTGAAAGGATTTGATAATTTATTTGCAATGGAAATTGATCCTAATGTAGGTTTGACTGAGTTGCCGGAAGAGTATTTTGAGGGAGAAACAGAAGCTATGAGGTTAGGCAAGGGAGTTATGCAAGAAATTGTTGGAGCATTCCCAGGTATTGATGAAGCAATGAGTTATGCAGAGGTATGATGGAATTCTATATAAGTTATATTAGCAAAACAATTTAAGTAACCTATTATGTAGTATGCAGCATTTTTTACAACCAAATCAAATTTTACCATTGTTATAAACTGCTATTTATTTTAGGTAATGAAACTTGTAAAAGGCATGAACTTTAGTGCAGTTGTATTTGATACTGCTCCTACAGGGCACACGTTGCGTTTGTTATCTTTCCCTCAAGTTGTTGAAAAGGGTCTTGGTAAATTGATGCGCCTCAAATCTAAGGTATGTTTAATTAAAATTTTCTTTTGTATCATAGATTTAAACGTCTGAAGATATTATATTTTAGAATATTAAAATATGCTAGCTTAGAATTATAATAATGAAACATTATTAGATATAATATTGTACAATAATGTGTAAATAAATATTTTATTTAACACTTCAGGTTGCACCATTTATAAATCAGATGGCCACTCTTTTCGGACTAGCAGAGTTCAACTCAGACATGTTTAGCAACAAAATGGATGAAATGCTCTCTGTTATCACACAAGTAAACACTCAATTCAAGGATCCAAATCAAACTACATTTGTATGTGTTTGCATTGCTGAGTTCCTTTCATTGTATGAAACAGAACGACTTGTACAAGAACTAACAAGATGCGGAATCGACACACATAATATTATTGTGAATCAGTTACTTCTTCATACATCAGCTCCCTGTGAACTTTGTGCTGCACGGCATAAAGTCCAAGAGAAATATCTTGAACAAATAGCTGACTTATATGAAGATTTCCATGTAACCAAACTACCATTGCTAGACAAGGAAGTGCGTGGAGCAGAAGCTGTAAATTCCTTCTCTGAATATTTAGTTACACCTTATGTGGTGCCTAAAATGTAAATGTAAAAAAAATGTTTATAATTTAAAAGGTGAAAGGGGTCTATCGAGTCAAAACTCAAAAAGTCAAATTAAGTAATATTACACAAAAAATAATATTTCTAAACTGAATCCTTTATACTAAAACAAAAAAATTTTTTTATCGTGTTTAGAAACAGACTTCAAAAATGGAGATATGATGTATTGCTGTTGAGACTCTTTAAAAGTAAATTATTTAATTATTAAAAAAGGGGCTAACTTTTTTCTTTCTTTATTCCATTTTTAAATTGGATTATACCAACTTTCATATCACCCAAGGTAAATATATGACAAATTTTTTGTAACATGAACTAGCTAGATCTAACTAAAACAAAATATTTAGTAAAATATTATATTTCATTGTACTTTACACTGTAATCCAGTAAGTGTATAAAAGAGTATACATATATATATCTTAAATATATAAAATAAATTCTTCAAAAACCAAAATTTCTATTAATTTTAACCTTAAAATTATATCCCTATGAAATTTAATTTGGAGCTTTTATTTAACTTGCAATGTTTGTATGTATGTTTTTAGTAACTGAATTTTAAAGCAGTTTATTTTTGCTTGAATATAGAATAGATGTTAATCACAAATTGGCTGTTTTATTTTTTAACCAACTTCCAAAAAGGAGGTTCTATGTTCATCTGTATGTATGTTTTTTATGTTTGCTCATTTCTTGGAGACGGCTTGACTGATTTTGCTACTTTAAACCACTGTATCTATTAAGCTAGATCCAGAGTTGATCCCGTCAAATTTTCTTTGACAAAGAGTATATTATGTAAGCCGAGTAAACGTAAGTACATTAACAGATCTAATTAGACTTTTTGATCTACTTCTAATTGTCATATGGACTTGAAACTTTACAAGATAGTACAGCATGTCTTATCATCGAGCTGATCTGATGGTGCGGCCCGAAGGCCGATAATGGGACTCTTCAACATCTACTAGTAAATACTTTGAGTTTGGGCTTATTTGATTTTTCTTTATTCGGCAGAATATTTTGCTTATTGGGTTTGATTCGACAAGCCTAATACGTCAAAATGTGCTCTTCACTTATAAGACTTAAACGAATATCTTTTTAAAATTCTTTCTTATAAATTTGCCATTATTTATATATATATATATATATATACAGGAAATAAAAACAACATTCAGTTATTTTTTACTTTTTACGAGTCTAAAAGTCGGTCTTAATTTTTCTTTTTTAATTTTTACTTTATTAATTACTAGCATTGCCCTCGGCTCCGCCCGCGTTCAAATGACCAAAAACCAAATTCTTAGGTGTTACATATTAGTATACTCTTACTTTGCAGATTTTGTATTTTTTCTCAGAAATGAGATATTTTCCCGCGGTAAAAAGTATCCTATATGTTGACCCGGATAACCAGCTATCATCATACCAAATTTCAGCAAAATCCCTCCAGTGGTTTTTCTGTGATGCGATAACAGACAGACAAAAATTCTAAAAACTATAGATTCGGCCTCTGTATCGATAATAAAGACTATTTTAATAAGATTTTCCAAAAAATATTTAATGTACAGATTCGGCTTAGTTACAATTTTATTACATGTATAGTATTAATTATGTGTTATACTAAAATATGATAAATATTGCAAAATTCATTCTGAATTTAACGAAAGGTATACAACTTTTTGACAGCATTTCATTACTTTCGCCAGTAAAGAAACGAATGGATTGCGTCTGTTAACGCAACTATAAGCCATTATAAAAAAAAAAGAAACTTATATCGTAGCTAAAAAACTATGTTTAAAATTTAAATATATTTGATGACACGAGTTTTGCGGCTCTAGTTGCTGTACCAGCGGTCGCGAGTTCGAGTTCCGCTGGGTGTGGATTCATTTGTGTGATTAGCACGAAATACGAATGTATTATAATTTAAAGTTATATATATGTAGTGTATCAACCATTTGATATCCATAACACAGGCCTCGTAGTTTACCATGGACCTAGATGGTGCTGTTTGTTAATGTCCCAACATATTTATTAAAAAAAAACTATGTAGGAATGCTATTTAACAAGAAATCAACTCGCTAAACCATAATGAACCAGTTTTTTGTGTCATTATTGTGATTGCTATGTCTTTTTATCAAGCGTTATAGTTTAATAAATACTTACTACTAATATTCTACTTAACCAGCTTGCGCTACTTGCCACCATTCTAGATTAAATAGAAAATATGACTGCTAAATTTGGTTGGAGGATCTGGATAATAAAAGATATACTTCGATTTCAAAGAATATCCATCCACAAAGTCATGAAGACTCATCAGTCATCGGGAGCTAAAAAAGTAGTTCAAATAAATGTCAATAGATGTCGTTATTTGTTCGATTTGTTATTGAAGTTTATGTATAGTTAGAAAAAAATCGATCTCAAAAAGTATATTCTGCTTTTAAAAAAAGTCTCAAATAAACGAAAACAAAAAATGTGTTCTTAAATAAATTTTCGTAACTTTACATAATATATTGTCAAAAAAAACCAGAAGAAAATGAGTTTTAACTTTATATTCATAGATGGCGTTGTTTACATTTTGTTAGTTACAATAAATTACGTTTAGACTTTGTCACGTTTAAAACGATTAGTAACTGAATTTGTTTTATTTAATTCAAAATGAATTTTGCTATTCGTATTTTACATATGTATACATATTTTTTTTAATTTGTATAAATATAAATAAATAAAATATATATGTTGAGACATTATAATAACATACAAATGTTAAAATATTTGCGGATAAATTTCATCTATCCTATAGTAAACGCAAGCAAAAAAAAAAGCGACATATAAATTATTTGTATGGGATGACGTTTAATGTATACGTAGGACGTTAAACGAGTATAATGTTATGTCATCAGCATAAGACATAGTTATGACAATTTTTATTTTACACTTTTTTATTTATTTTTAATAGGTGGTTAATATAAATAAATAGACACAAATAAGGACAAACTCTTTAATATCTCGTACCCATTGTACAAACATCTTAGGAGGTATATTGTTGCACTACATCTATCATGAAGTGTTGATAATAAATAACAATTTAATAAATATTAAAATTATAAAATAACAACTTCAGTAAAATTCTGTTAAAAGGCCCTAATAACATGGCAGTGTCGGTTTTCATATTAAGCGCTAACCTTAAACTTATTTTGTTCGTTTACAAAGTTTAAATAAAAACCGTCGTGCAACTGTATACATTTTAATAAAATATTAGAGACTCACCCACGCTCCGCTCGGGTTCGTCGGCACTTGCGTTTTAACGTTTAGTATAGATTTCTTAGAAATAAGATATTTTCCCGCAGTAAAACGTATCCTATATGTTGACACATATAACCAGCTATCATCATACCAAATTTCATAAAAATCCCTCCAGTGGTTTTTCCGTGATGCAGTAACAGACAGACAAAAATTCTAAAAACTATAGAGTCAGCCTCCGTATCGATAGTAATGTCTATTTCAATAAGATTTTCCGAAAAATATTTAATGTACAGATTCAACTTAGTTAGAATTTTATTCTATGTATAGATAAGATGACAAGTTGAAATATGTAAAGAAATTAAGTAATATCATTATTTGCTTCTGATATAGTCACAAATGTTATTTCACTTAGCATTTTAATAGAGTAATTGCAATGCAAATCTTATGTCTTCAAACCTGCGGCTTTTAACTTAGTCATTCTTTTCAGTCATTTACAAATAAATATGTGTTTGGTTGTTTGTTACCTTACAAAAAACCTTGACATGCATTCCTATACTATTTCTTATTCCGAGGTAAGATATTTCTCTGAGATAGATAAAAACATACGAAAAGAAAATTTTATGCGGAAAGTATAACAATTTTTTTTTCAATCAAGTCAAAGTCGCAGGCAAAGGGTCTAGTAATACGTAAATGAAAACTATTTGATCTCGCTACCCTACATATTTAAATATATGAATAAGCATAAAATAGATAAATTACAAACTACAATCTAATAGACTATAAACACTTTTCTGAAAACCTAAATTACATAAATATTAAAAACCCAACTAAATTTATGTTTTAAATATCTAGGATATATGTTATTGGGCGATGAACAGATTTCCTAGCGGTAAATTTCAGAACTAACTTCCACTGATAAAATCATTTTTTAGTTAGTATGTGAAGAGTTTAACACATTGTTGCCCAGTTGAGAGTTGTATAGAACGTCTTTACACCAAAATAGCACGTGTGAACCGTGCTTTAGACTAGATGCCAAGAGGGTTGTCAACCTATAACAATCTTAAACGCATCGATCAAAAAAGTATTAGATACTCAATCAGCGACAAAAAATGTCCTCACCGAAAGAGCGCTCATTTGAACATTTGAGCGCGCTTTTAATAAAAAATTTTGTGAAAACAACTTTAAGGATTGTATTTAAGGTTCAATTTATATTCTTGTATATTTATGTCAACTAGAATAATTACCTAAATACAATTGGTGACAGTTTTAAGAGAATTTTGCATGAGATTGTGTATCTAATACATTTTTGATCGATGCTAAAACAAAAACAGTTCGTGGTAAATTGGTCTAAGTTTATAATAAAAACAGCGCATTTAAAAAAAGAATGGACATTTCTAGAACATTCCAACATCTTAATGTCATCTGTGTAAGTATAATGTCTACTATATATACTAGATAATAAATTTATTGAAACTCTCACTGATCAATATGTAGTAATGTAAACAGCTGTCAGTAAACAGCAGTTCCAAAAACAGCCACTAGGGGAATCTAACAACCGCTAATACATTTCATAACATTAATCTATAACTGAGTATATAAAATGTACGGTAACAAGCAATATTTAAAGTGCAATAATAAAAAAAATTTTAATACTTTAACAAATACTTTAGTACATTTAGTGGTCTTAGCTATTTATTTTTACATCCTATATGCTATATGTAGTAAAATCTCTTTGTATAATATTTTAATATAGTTTATAAAATGTAGGAATACTTTGAGTACTTACTTATGTTTACAAAAGTAAATTTCCATGTCATTTTGTAAAACGTATTACCGAATCAGTAGGTGTGACGTTTTTTCAGGGTCCATTATTAAAATAAGATCGCCAATTTATAAAAGAACTTTTTTATAAAATGGGTTATTATTTATTATATTAAGGCATGTGCACATTGCAGCCAGAGCCCAGAACTATGAATATAAAGTAATAACATAGGTTGTTTAAAACGATATAATATATAATACATAAAATCTAGATAGATGTGGTGTTACTACAATGAAAATTACTTCTAGAAAGTAACCATGTTACATAGCACTCCATAACTCCTCATAAAATATGATTTACTTATATATACTAAAAAAAAAGACATGCAAAATGTGCAACAAAAAGACTACCCGTTTTATGGCCATTTTGATTATAATTATTATTATTCACAAATTTCGAATAATTCAAATTGAAATAATTTATATAAATTAAATTATTAAGACAAATTAATTATAGCTACATCACTATACACAATGGATGACATGACATGATTTGTTATAATAATTAATAATATCTTTGGCTATAATAATTAATTTACCAATAGAAACTCTTTTAATTAAACTTATTTTAATTGGTTCGAATGTGCCAATAAGAACGAACTTGCAAAATTAAATAATATTTTACTTTGAATTATTTTACAATATGGTTTTTTAAATGTTTTTCTACATAGATTTAAATAGCCATGTTATCTACATCTGTGTCATTTTCATACTGGATTCTTAAAAATAATATTGAATTTGTTATATTTTAAAGAGTTACAATGGGAGGTTTTAGTGACTTATTTAGCTCATGGTGGCGCCACAAGCATAGATATAATGCGATGTTCTGGAATAAAAACATGAACAAATCCTTGCAAAGGCAAAGTAGTTTTCAAACAAATATTATAACATTTGTTTTTTTTAGTAAGTAAACTTCTGCATTTAAACTAAACTCGAAATGGAGAGGTAGAGAAAAGACTACGTACCTACCAGAAAAGGGAAGCCGCGGGCAAACTAGTGCTTATAATAATATAAACATAATAAAAAATACACTTCCTACTAATACTAATTCTTTCTCCTGAACATCACATTCTAGTGACGCCAACTACCCTATTTAAAACCTCCCATCGATCAATGATGGACATGGATGGATGGATAAATTATTGGTGCATTTCTGCATAACAACATCCAATTCAAAAATTTTAAAAAAAATATTTCATCTCTTTATGCAAATATTTTTTTTAATTTACAACGCATTAAAATAATAAATAAGTTACAAACGTTAGTACTGTTCTGTAGACGAATGGGATCACTTGTGTCAACTTGAGCGCGTCTGGTCGGGCAGGTGGCGGGCGGTGAGCGCGGCGCCGAGCAGCGCGCCTACAAGGGCGGCCGCACACGATCCCATCTCGAAGAGCAATTTCGGTGTGAACACACCCCATATCATGAGGTGACGGCAGTGGATCGTTGCTGATAATGCACAAGCGAAAACCTAGAAAAAAATATAAATTTTAGAGACTTTAAAAGTCACATTCCACCAACAGGCTGGATTTTTTTCTTGAAATGTATAATCATCTCATAACAAACAAAGAAAAAATAGTTCAAACAAATGCCAATAGATGACGTTACATGTACCGATTTGTTATTAAAGTTGTGTTAAATCAACAAAAGATAAAAAATAGACCCAAAAAACGTATATAATTATTTAAAAAATATTCTAAGTGAAGGGAAAAGAAATAATGCGCCCGTAAATTAAATTTGTGTTATTTTACTGATTATTGAAATATCAGCAATCAGATGATGGGTTTGTAGTATATATTCACAGATGGCGCTTTTACTTTTTATTACGGTTAAAAAATCTTAATATAACAGATTTTTTTTATTCGAATGCAGATTGAATTTTACAATATTTAATATTCTATTGCGTAATAAAAATACTTTAATTTAATATTCCATTGCGTAATAAAAAATACAAAAACAAATGTATGAAACATCATATATGAAAATCGATGTGTGTGTATGTTCCCTATGGACTCCTAAAATGGCTGGAGCGATTTTGATGAAATTTTCAAGGAATCTTCAGATTAGCTCAGCGAGGATGAACCTGTGAAGCGACGCGCGAATGTCGCCTCGGGTATCACTAGTTTCTTGTAAATAATAAATAATTGCATATAACTAACCCTAATAGTGAAGCACAAGGCGAACTTCAAACATAAGGAGAATACCGCAGCCAGTTGCGTACGAGGCGCCAGTGCGGAGGCGCCATTACGTCCCCACAGCGCTAGAAGCGGTACCGTTGCACCGAACATCAGTTGCATACCTTTGAAATAAAGAAATACCATAAAAATAGTATAAATGGGAAAGTTTGTGTGTGTATGTATTATGTGAACGGATTTTAATGAAATACCAAGTGTGTTGCCCCTATCTATTTATTTATTTATTTATTTATAGGGTCTACTAGCGATTTTACATAATTAATATTTCTTAAACTATTTACAATTTACATTACATGCACAGGGTATGTAAAATCATTTAAAGGTAAACACTACATGCTAATTTCGCTTAATATTACTTAATAAATTAAAAAGTAAATTAAAAACTGAAATCAACCAAAACGAGAGACAAACAAAATATATTACAAAAGTAAATCTGTAAAAGTCTAACAAACCCTATATATATATTTACACACAACAACAAATCATTCATTTGTATGTATGAATTTTTAATTCATAAAAAAAGATTTAGTCCAAAAAAATAAATTTTTTTTTTTTTAGGGTGGAGTTTACGTCCTATTCTCAGACCTACTGAACATCACACAAAATTTCATAAGAATCGATCAAGCCGTTTCGGAGGAGTTTTGTTACAAACACTTTTATAGAAGATGTACAATGAGACTATTTCGTTTACATAAAAAAGTTCCATTGTATCCCATCTACCCGGTATCGATTTTCACACGAAATCTCACGAATATTCTAAATTTTATTAACTTTTATTATTTCCTAAAATATTTATTTAATATTTTATTTACAATTTTGACCCCGTTACAAATTTATTATTTGTATAGATTAGATATGTATATGTAGATAAAATATTTGTATAGTTAAATATGGAAACTCTTTTTTCGGGTTTAAATCATAATACCTAGAATTTTCCATTCTTGACGAACTAGTTTCAAGCGTATAGTTACTCATGGTTGTGAATATGTACCTATTTTGTTGTGTTTAAAAAGAAGTCTTATATAATTACAAATCTTCTTCTTCTTCTTCTCCCTGCCCATTTCCCAAATCACTTGGGGTCGGCGCAGTACATCTTCAGTGTACTGCTGATAGGATTTGGCAAAAGTTTTACGACCGGCTGCCTGCCTGACGTCAACCCTCCTTGGGAATGCTATTGTCTTTCTTTGTCTGAATGGTGTTAAATATTATGCACTTTCGATTTTGTTGTGTTTTAAAACATTTTTTATACTATTAATTCAATTATTAATGTTATTTTTGGGTATATTTTAAAATAAATTTCGATTACACAATAAATTTTGTATTGACGTTGTCAAATTTTTTCTTCTTTTTTTTTTATATAATTACAAATCTATACATATAATAAAATAGTAACTAAGCTGAATCTGTACATTAAATATTTTTTGGAAAATCTTATTGAAATTAACATTTTTACCGATACATAGGCCGAATCTATAGTTTTTAGAATTTACGTCGGTCTGTCTGTCTGTCTATCTGTTACCGCATCACAGAAAAACCACTGGACGGATTATCCGGGTCAACATATAAGATACTTTTTACCGCAGGAAAATATTTCATTTCTGAGAAAAAATACGAAAACTGCATTGTAAGAGTATACTAATATGTAAAACGTAAGAATTTGGTTTATGGTCATCTGAACGCATGCGGAGCCGCGGGCAATGCTAGTAAAATAATATGAGTAAAGTCCGTTTAAATTTAGATATCTTTAAATAAAAAACGATAAATAAGATATAAATAAAAAAACTAGTGCGAGTCGAAATCGCACAAGGGTTCCGTACCATCGTAAATGTAATTTTTATCAATATAACTTTTACTCTATGTATGTATGTAGTATATTAACTTTAAAAAATCACGTTAAAAAATAACGTTAAAAAATCACGTTAAAAAATAACGTTAAAAAATCACATTTGTTGTATGGGAGCCCCCTTAATTATTTATTTTATTCAGTTTTTTTTATATTTGTTGTTATAGCGGCAACAGAAATACATCATCTGTGAAAATTTCAACTGTCTATTACGGTTCATGAGATACAGCCTGGTGACAGACGGACAGACAGATAGACGGACGGACAGAGGAGTCTTAGTAATAGGGTCCCGTTTTACCCTTTTGTAGGGAACCCTAATAAATATAAAGTTTATCATATAAGAGCCTGTGAACGCCAGACCTTCGTCATTTTATAAAAGTTGAAAGTTTGTCAGCGCATGCTCCCAACACAGATAAGAACGATGGACCATTATGAAGTTCAGGCTATGGTGGCTTTGGCAAGTACACGGTACTAAAGATGTGTAAAATACCGATCTAAATTCGTGAAATAATAAAGTGTAATTTTTTGGTATTACCTCCAGAATATTATTAAAAATCACGTCATTCAATGCCAGACACTTAAAACATTGTGGCAAACCCTTGCCAGACACCGTTTTCATGAAATCATAATTTTACTTACGTTAAAGTATAAAAGCTGATATTTATATATAATACTTGGGTAATAATTAGATGATTTATAAGACTGCTAGCATGGCATTTATTACACACCATCAAAAATAAAGTCAATTCTTCGAGCTTCAAATTTGGTGACCATTTGCAACATTTTCTTAGAAATGCCTCCCAACTTGTTTGGAACATTTTTCATGGCCAACTTCCCAACTCCGGGCTATTACTGAAGCTTACTATACAGAAAGACTTCATAACTAAACTTGGCCCGACCCGGGACTTGAACCCAGGACCTTCGGGTGTGCAACATCCTAAATATTTCATTTATGAGCGAAAAACCTAAATATACATAAAAGTGTCTGAAGATCAAAAGAAACATTTACGTAGTAAAAATATAAACTTACCGAATAAATAAATAAACATGAAGAACACCGATATAACAGTTCCAAACGACAAATGATTTGGATCGCCTGCGTGGAATACGGCGGCCCATCGTACACTGCCGAGAGTAGAGTGGTGACCTGTCCCGTAGAAATGGTATGAAGCCAATAACGCCCAAAGACAGGCCATACTTGAGTTGCATCTCGTGCTCAATGCTGGAAATATATTTACAGTTTTAAAATACGAAAAATAATAATCTAGTAGTTTTTTTTATAATTATATTATTAAAACAACTCTAAGTTATGACTTAATTCAGTATATAAGATATCTTATTTCCAGACACTAAATCCCTAAAGCGGCTACAGGTTAAAGAATAATTATAATTTCAAGAATAAATGCATCAAACTTACAAAACTTTGATGACCCTTCAGTCTTCAACATAGGTACCAAGTTCAGGGCCAAAAATCCGGATAGAAGCGCCAAGGCAGCGGTCGGTGCAAGCGTTGCTCCCAACACTAGCGCATTCGCTAAATATAACAATAACCCAGCTACGACTAACGGCAACGTCGGCCCTTTGCCTTCTCTCCTCCATAAAAGGGCAAACATGGTTAAAATAACCAACCAAGCTCCTCTGGCTAACATTTTAGACCTGCCTGGCGATCCTAGTGATCCCCACCCTACAGCCCAATGCGCACACGCAAATATTCCAGCTATCACTACCCCATAGCCTCTCCATTCAACATGTCGTCTTGCAACAGCAACCACTGCGGCTACAGAACCTAAAGCAAGAACTAAGGCAGCTCGAGATGTATCACCCGAAGGTATACCCGCACCTGACGTCCAACAATCGCCTTGCTCTTCTCTACAACCTCTATAGGATCGAGTCAAGCCTATAGCAACCCCAAACCCGACCCATAACATCAAAGACTTTACGTTACCAATGTTCCAAGCCATTAAACCCAGTACAGACAAAGTCAGGTAGGCTAAAGTAGCGCCTTCTTCTATTATGTAACTATTCGATGACAATATCACCGCAGAAGCGAATAGAGCGGCTCGGGCGAAACGTTCATAAAATTGCGAACGACCTTCATACCATCTTTGAGCAATACCGTCCCAATGCATTATTACCAAAGCACACGTAATAGTCCCCGAAACTAAGCCTGTGCTCAAAATAATCGCATGATCTAAATCTTTGAGAACTTCGAAATAATATCCTGTGAAGCATACTGCCATACAAACTGCTATGGATACAAGCCCACTAGGGACGAAAGAACTAGCGAACACGTGTGGAATACGATCCACTGGAATACCCTCAGTTATGATCCAATTGAAAAATACCACTAAAAGAAGTAATAATAGAGCCCTAAGCATTGAGAGTGAATCGAATTCTACCCATACTTCCCTGAATATTCCACGTACGTTGCCCATTAATGTCCTGTAACAAAATGCTTTATTTGAAGGGATTATTGTGATACAAATACTAAATATTTTTTAAACGACTTCCGAAAAGCAGGAGGTTCTCAATTCGTGGGAATCTTATTTTTTTATGTATGTTCACCGATTACTCGAAGACGCCTGAACCGATTTGGATTTTTTTTTGTTTCGAAGGGTATACTTCCCTGGTGGTACCATTTAAGTTTTATCGAAATCGGTCGAGCGGTTTTTTAAATATTTATAAATAAAAACATTAAAAAAACCCCTACTTCCAGACACTAAAATATAAAAAATAACTTAATGGAAGTTTTAATTTAGAATACATACCTAATGAGATATTTTCGAAGTCGGTGCCAGCCGATGCAAAGCAAATCTAATATATTTCGTTACCTAAAATACATCACAAATTGATGTACATATATTAGAGTTCATACCAAATCATATTTACCTATTAGATATTCATACCTTAAACTATCGTAGGCTGGCACCAACTTCGAAAATATCTGATTAGGTATCTATTCTAAATGAAAACCCTCGTCTAGTTATTTTTTACATTTTAGTGCCTGGAAGTCGGTTCTTTTTTAAGTTTTTTTAAGAATATTTGTTTGCATCATTGTAAACCATGAACAACATTAAGGATAATGAGGGACTAAGGTGTAATGTCAGTCTTCCTTATATGTTATTTAGTCATGAAATGAAAAAATACTTATGTAAACTAGTAGTCACTAAGTATTTAAATTTGTAATTGTATTACTATTACTTACTTAACATTAGCAATATACAATTTTAAATCTTCCTCAGTCTCTATATTAGGTGCTTTATCTAACTGTTCTCTAGTATCATTAATCAAGTGAGCTAATTTTTCCAATGAAATTTGCTGGGATTCTTCACCATATCTTATTAAATATTCTGTTACCTAAAACAAGATATATATTTTTAGAAAACTATCTACTGATATTATTATTATAAATACAAATAATGTCACATTTTTAAAAAGACTAAGATCTACCTGTTTCAAATTATTGGTCAAATGTAATAAAGTATGAGTAATAGGCATATTTGGCAATATAGGAAACAATAAGTTTCCTAGAGACGGAGCCGGAGGTGGTCTTCCTAAAGCTGCACTAAGAGTTGATGCCATATCAGTTTGTTGCACTTCCTTGCCAGTAAGCCTATCCATTTCATCTCCATAGAATTCTAAATGAGAATATGCAAATAATGTTGCCGTACGTTCAGCTTTGCTCTCACCACCGTGGTCACCTGGCATAACATTAAAAATTATAATTAAGTGATGGTGGTAAAATATATGATGATCATTTAAAATGGAATTTTTAATTCATGAAAAATAATTTAGTTAGTTGTGTATTATTATATTTATTTCTATTTCTATATTAATTATAATATAATTTTATATACAAACGAAAAATCATAAAATATTGCAGTCATATAAAAACACAGGTTAATCAAATGCTATTTAATTTATAAGATAAATTAGTCCATAGTTAGCTTATTCAATTTGAAAACAGTTCAAATGTTATATTATATTATAATAAACAGCCCAAATTACTTTCATTGTAGTTATATTTAATTAAAAGCTTAAAAAAAATCTGTAATAAATAATAATATTATAATGTGTCTTGAACCACAAAGAACATTAAAAAATTACAAACAAAAAAATGCATATAATTACAAATCAAGATAATAGTACAAACCCTCTGAATCAATCCATTCATGTAAGTCTAAAACAATATGGACAGATCATGAAAAACTAAGGCCACTAAATGTACATATTTTTAATATATTTTTAATTGAAATTACTAAGTAAAAGTTGTAAATGTCATTGATATATAGACATTGTTCAATTAATAAATTTATTCCAAATAAAATGAGTACCTGATTCAGTCATTCCATGATCACCCACAATATAAAGTATAGTATTTTGTGGAAGTGTCTCAATCATTTTTTCAATTCTTGCATTTGTTTCATCCAGTTTTCTTGCCATTTCTGGATGATTAGGACCATATCTGTGACCAGCATGATCAACTCCAAGATAGTGAGCAACAAGGAGGTCCCAGTCATTTTTCTTAAACTCATCATAAATTTTTGAGTCAATCTCTAAAAGTAAAATATAATATTGATAAAAATTAATCTATAAAATATAACATTCCGTATAAAAAATTACGAATAAAAAAAAGATGGAAAACCAAAGCCTAGCTTACCATTGTCAACAGTATCTAAGTCCCATGTATGAAATGAATACAAAGCATGGGATCGAAGCCACCTTCCAGGCATTAAGCGAGCCCAGGTGTCATCTCCTAAAAGTACAACATTTCTGCCTCCTTTGACTAACTATAAGGAATAAAATTGACAATTATTATATAAACATCAAAATTTTATTTTTTTATTTTATTTTTTATTTTATTTTTTTTTTATTTGGGAAACAAACAGTACAAATTGATACAAATTAAAAAACAGAACATAAAATATAAATCATTGACCAATAAAGTTTCCACAATTAAATAGTACATAGAATAATGCGAGCAAATTAATTACAATTAAAAAAATTTAACATTAAATAAAATAATAATCATATGAATAGAAAATAATTAATGTTGTAGTAATAATTACATAATTATAGTTAATAAAGAGTCGCAAATATAATTTAATACAAATAAAAATAATTTAAACCAGGTCATTTTCTTAATTTGTTGAGTTAACTTCTGTAACGAACCCATAAAGTAATCTCAAAACTCAAAAGTAAAATCAAAACAATTGTAAATTTAGATGTAGTTAACAGTAGTTTAATGGTATCACTTACTTGATCAATTAGATTGTCTTCTTGCATTTCAATAGCAGCAAAATTTGAGCTCACATCAACGAAAGTAGGTAATGAACCTGTGACTAGAGCTTTAATTCGCTGCAATGTTGTCGTAGGCGGATCAGCCATAAATCGAAAAAGCCGCGCGCGTTTTGGCCATCGTTCCACCGTCTTTCTTATAACTGGTAGACGGTTTTGATAAATTAAAGGCTTTTCATTATTTTCATTTAAATCAGTAAAATCATACCGTAAGGCATCTACTAACACAAATACCACTCTATTTTGACTAGGGACACATGCAAGTGGTGAGCCAATATTGGATAAAATTCTCTTGATTTTTTCGGTCTCGTTACATACACTGTTTTCATTGTATTTAACCTGTCCATCGCATCCAATAGTATTTAAAGGCAAACATTCTGATATATCACTTAAAGTTTTACGGGATAATAAGAAACCCTGACCGAACATAAGAACTGCGGATAGTGTAAGATAAGAAAACCACACTAGATACAAAATAAAATTCCATTTTTCTTTCATGGTTCACGTTTTTAAAAGAACATAAAATTTATTTAAAAAAAATAAGAAACAGTTCATCCACCCTAGACATATTGAAGTTGAACCCCACCAATGAATGTCAAAAATGAAAAATCAAAATCTTCATGTAAAACCACTGTCTCTAATGACATTATTTGACATTTGCAAATTAAAGTTGCTTTATTATACATTTTTTTTAGCGATGCGCGATTATGAATATTCCGAAGATTCGAATCATCTACAACTGCTAATTTCCTCATTCGACTTGAATATTAGTAATATATTAATGTTAATAATCGAATAACTATTACTAATTAGTAATTACTAACGGCGTTTTAACTAAATTGATCGCGACTGCGATCAGTCGCCACTCGCCAGTTTGAAATGAGTTAAGAAAATGAATACGAATTAATGGATCATTTGCCGCGACTCCAGCGCCAAATAATCAGTTAGAACGTATGAAACAAATTCATCTATTTTATTTGTCATCCATGGTTAGAACTTAGAGTGGTTGCTGTTCTGTTAGCGCCTCAGTTGAATTACATATTTAAACTTCCAATAACTAAAAATATTATAATATAATATTACTAAAAATACTTGTTACTATTACTTAGTAGCTTTATTTGTCATCCATGTTTAGTAGATAGTAAAAGTTTACTTGCTTCCCTTTACTTGTGAGGTGTAATTCGGTCGTGCGCCGTACGTAAGACATACATACAAGTTGTCAGTCGAAGGAAACGTATTACTAATACAACTAATACTTTGTGACATATTCGAGCAGGTATCAAGTTAGTTAACTTCGTAATTCATTCGAATGAGTCGAATGATTTATAAAGTCGAATAATTCGACTGGAATCATTCATAGTAGCGCATCACTAATATTTTTTGTCAATAATTGTCATTGGAAAAGTAAGCGGGATATGGTAGGGTACAGTACGCCTTGCTGCCTTTTATAGTTATATTTAAAAAGCTCTAACGATATAAGTATTTCAAAATAAATGAGCTACCTAAAAGAAAACTAAAAAACTTTTTGTAATTACATAAGTTTGTAGTTCATGGTGTTAATTTCTAAAATAAATTGTACTAATGCTGACATAGACAAGTCCCGCCATCCATCGAATTTCATCTGTTCTCGATGAATCATGAAATCTTCTCATGTGTCTAACTTTAACTTTCGCACAGAAATATTGCCCTGTGGGCATTTGCACTGATAACATAAATACACTATATTAATTATTTATTTTTAAACGGTACTGTGTGTGGTCATCTATTGAATAATACCAAAATTACTCTAATAGATTAAAAAAAATAATTATAATATAATATGTTTATTCAAAGTAGTCTTTATATGCAACGAATTTGTCCTCGAGAAATCTAAAAGAGGTTGTATGAAATCTTATCGTCTATTTGCACCTCGTTTTGCCATATCGTCTGTCGCCAACTCTTAGAGGACCTACCTTTCAGTTTTCATTATATTTATTATCTATGGGCGTACTATCTGTCTACTTTTATTTGTCATCCATGCTGTCTACACATGGATAACAAAAAAAACTGTCTAGTGTCTACTGTAGGGGTGAATAGGAAATATCGATATATCGATAATGATATATTTAGATTTAGGTCGATACTAATATATCCATTTTTTTAAATATCAGGACATTAACGCACATCACCATCTAGTTCCATGGTAAGCTACGAGGCTTGTGTTGTGGATACCAGATAGTTGATACATTATACACTTTATTGATATAGGGTCACTACAAACTGAGCCAAACGTGTCATCAATCATATAGATCAGAGTACATCGAGTTAACTGCCTCGATGGTGTAGTGGCTAGCATGTACGACTGCACACCCGGAGGTCCTGGGTTCGAGTCCCGAGTCGGGCCAAGTTTAGTTATTGAGTCTTTCTGTATAGTAAGTCTCAGTAACAGCCCGGAGTTGGGAAGTTGGCGGTGTTTCACCCCCGTGCCTCGGAGAGCACGTAAAGCCGTTGGTACTGCGCCTCAACTCTCACCGGTCGTGTCGAGCAGTCGTCCCACCGGGGTATGAGAGTGACAGAAATAGAGAGTGCACTTGTGTCTGCGCGTACACTTGTACACTATAATATCTCCTGCGCAGTTGGCTAGTCTCAATGAGATTGGCCGCCGTGGCCGGAATCGGTCAGGAGAACAACATCAGATCAGAGTAAATATATCAGAATAGAACGCCGATGTATCGATATTTATTACTTTGTTTTTAAAAACGGTAATAAATCCAAAAAGTTAGTGTCAATTAGATCAATTACCTTCGTGAAAATACATTCGTAATAATGCATTATTCAGTAAACATATACATATTATAGTGTATTTTTGTTACTATGTATAATCATATAATAATATATTAATTATGTATAAATACGATATATGTATTAATTTTAGAAAATTCGCCCATCAGAGGAATTGAAAATTGGTGTAATACACCCAGAGAGATTAATAAATAAATTATTTATATGTGTTGCAGCTCTTTCTTTACATAAATTTTGGCTGTGCAATGGATTGGAGTCGTATTATTAAATTGTAAAAAACCGCATTTTGCCTGATTCAGTGGATATTCAATTTTGGGTGGGCTCTTTTAATATTTCATCTCGATGTTTTGGATTTTTTCGATATCAATATATCGATATCGACGGATAATCAACATTGATAAATATTTTAATTCATCAATGTTGATTATCGATCGGTATATACATATTTATCGGTTAACCTTATCCGATAATCGATATATCGTTACATCCCTTGTCTACTGTGAAGTGTGAGCTGTCCAGACTTTAGACATTAGACTGTCATCCATGATTAGAGTCTAGAAAGAAAACAAAGTATAAGTACTAAGTAGGTACCTATTTAAAAGCTGTCTATTTTTGCAAAATTTTAAACTAATTGTAGTATTTTTTACCGTGGCCGAGTATAATTTTTTGACATGTAGTGCTGAATAACATTGCTAACAATATTTATTAATGTCAAAATGATATAATTTTAACCTGTTTTTGCAAATTGTGATTTTTGTTTATTTAAGAACAAAATAATGACAAATGGTACGTACTTAACAAAAAATTAAATACTGAATTGTAATAAAAGAGGCATGGTGTTTGTGAAACAACTATGTCTATACCAACTAAAGTCAAAGAACATACCAGACTCTTGGACTTGTCTAGTGACGAAGAATCTGAAGACTTGCAGTTAGAAATAATACCAAATAGAAAAAGGAAAATTACTAGGTAATGTGTTGTTTACATTTGTTAATGAAGCATGAAATAAAGTATAGTAAAAAAAAATTTTTTTTAGCTTTATGTATATATTTTTTAAATGCTTTTAATGATTTCCAATTTCGAATTTCATTTGTATATGTGTCATAGAGAATACTGTCTGGCAATAAAATTTAAATATAAGAATATAATTTTGATAGATGTCGGTAAAAATAAATGTGTCAGGTTGTGTTAATAAATTGTAAATTGAAATAAATAAAAGGGACTTTATTAAAGATAACTCCACTGCGATAAAACTACTCTCTATAAAAGGTTATGGGCCGTGCGTAAACGCGAGAAATCGTATATTGAAAAAGAGAAAGATGAGCCTTCATGTGCACATAGAGCCATTAAAAAGAGAAAATTACGACACATGGAGAATTCATGCAAAAGCTCTGTTGTTGAAACTTGGTCTTTGGAACTATGTTTCTAATAAAATTAAGAAGCCAATAAGCGAAGGCGACGAACTGAGCAAATATATAGAAAAAGATGAGTTAGCATTAGCTGAATTATTTCTTATTATATCTCCAAGCGAACTAAAACAAGTAAAAAATTGTCACACAAGTAAAGAAGTCTGGGATACGCTTGAAAATATATATAATAGTAAAGGTCCCGCTAGAAAAGCAACCCTGTTAAAAGAATTGATATTAAGAAAAATGAAAGACAATGACAGCATAGTTGATCATTTAAACAAATTTATGGATATTGTCGATAAACTAGCCGACATGGATATAATAATTAATAAAGATTTATTAAGTATAATGCTGCTATATAGTTTACCACAATCTTTTGAAAATTTTCGCATAGCCATAGAATCTAGAGATGATTTACCAAATCCAGATAGCCTGAAAATAAAAATCATTGAGGAAGCTGAAGCACGAAAAAATATGGCTACTCCAACTGATGGGAACTCAGAACAAGAGGTACTGTACAGCAAGCAGCAAAGAAAAAATAAGAAATATATTACTGAATGCTACAAATGTCATAAAAAGGGGCATAAAGCGAATGAATGCTGGTCAAAAGTGAACAAAACTAAAAGCAGTGCGAATTATTCCATAGAAACATGTCTAAATGCTAATAATAATAAAGAAAAAGCCAGAAAATGGTGTCTTGATAGTGGATGCACGTCACATATGACTCATGAATTGGAAAGATTCCATAATGTAGAAAAAGAAGACTATAGAACTATAAGGTTAGCTTCAGAGAACTGTACAGCACAAATTGAAGGTCGAGGTTCAGTGAAACTGAACATAAAGGAAATACCTGGTCTACAACTAGATGAAGCCTTGTATGTACCGTCGCTGACTACAAATCTTATGTCAGTAGGAAAAATGACAGATAAAGGTGCAACAGTTTTATTTAAGAAGCAACAAGCAAGCGTAATGCGAAATGGTCAAATTCTGTTAAAAGCAGAAAGAAATGAAGATGGTTTATACTACGTTAAAGAAAATTTAGAAGAGAAATCCAACTATTGTGAAACAAATAAAATGCAACTATGGCATAGAAAACTAGCACACCTTAATGAGAGGCAAATGAGAATAGCTCTTGATAAGAAAAGTATGGAAGGCTTAGAATTTAATAAATCTGATACAGTTAGAGATTGTGTAGTCTGTGCTAAAGGTAAGGCAAAGAAACTACCGTTTAATACATGTAAGAATGAGCAACGGACAAATCATAGATTAGAAATTGTACATACTGATGTATGTGGTCCCATGAGACAGCCATCTAAGGGAGGTTCAAAATATTTCATCACATTCACAGATGATAATTCGAGATATACACGAGTATATACAATGAAAACTAAAGATGAAGCCCTATCAAAATTTATAGAATTTAAAAACGAGGCTGAACGATTTACGAAAAATAAAATAATATATTTACAAAGTGATAATGGGACAGAGTATATAAACAAAAGATTTGATAATTACTTAAAAGACAAAGGTATCAAGAGGAGACTTTCCGCACCATATACGCCAGAACAAAATGGATTAGCAGAAAGAAAAAATAGAACATTGCTTGATAAAGCTAGATGCATGCTGATAGACGCTAATATGAAAGAAGATTTTTGGGCTGAAGCAATTAGTACAGCTAACTACTTGGCGAATCGAAGTCCTTGCAGCAGCATTGATAATGCGACTCCGTTTGAAAAATGGGTAAAGAAAGTACCATCTGTGAGGCATTTTCACATATTTGGGGCTAAAGCATTCGTATTAAATAAAGGAAAGAAAAATGGAAAATTTAAAGCCAGAGCAACAGCTGGAATTTTCATCGGATATTCCGAAAATCATAAGGCGTACCGGATATTCAACCCGAAAACACACAAGGTGATAATCAGCAGAGATGTTAAAGTATTAGATAAAATGTTTTATGAGAACGAGATGAAAGAAGAAGAAAATCAAAAAGAAATTGATAAAAAGGAAATAGAAGTTATATTTTTTCCAGAAGAACATAATGAAGAAAACAATGATAAATTAATAGAAAATGAAGGAAATGGGTCAGAACATGATTTTGACAATGATGAATTATTCCTAGATGCAACTACAGAAATAGATGAAATAAATAATGACATGTGTACAGATAATGAAGTCGAAGCAACGACTAATAGTATAAAAAGACAGAGAAAACCACCAGCATGGCATCAAGATTATGAGATGGATGCTGAGCAATCATTCCTCTGTGAAATAGATGAAAATAGTGATGAATGGGAAGATGCAATAATAAACGAGATAGAATCTCATCTTAAAAACAATACTTGGACAGTTGTACACAAGAACGAAAGCAAAAATTTAATAGATAATAAAATGATTTTGAAATATAAATATAATGCACTAGGAGAAATAGATAGACGAAAGGCACGACTTGTAGCGCGTGGATTTAATCAGAAAGAGGGTATTGATTACACAGAAACATTTGCACCTGTTGCAAAAATGAGTACTATTAGGCTACTCATTGCACATGCGATTGAAAATGACATGAAGTTATCCCAACTAGATGTGTGTACTGCATTTTTAAACGGCGATATAGACGAACAAATTTACATGAAGATGCCGAAAAATTTGGATAAATACTTAAAAATGATAATAGCAAATGGAAAAGATAAAGAATTAATAAGAAAAACAAAAGAAATGCTATTAGATATAAATAGATATAAAAATAATGGGATATGTAAATTAAATAAAGCCATTTATGGGTTGAAACAAGCAGGACGACAATGGTTCTTGAAGTTACATAATAAATTGATGGAAATCGGATTTAAGAACTCTACAGCAGATCCTTGCTTATATATTTTAGAAAAAGAAGGTGAAAAGCTATTAGCAAACATTTATGTGGACGATTTAATACTGGCATATAAATCAGAAAATTTGTTAAAAGAGGTCAAAATGAAATTACAAAAAGCTTTTCAATTAAGAGATATGGGTTCGCTACATCATTGCCTTGGCATACAATTCACCCATGTAGGGGGAGAAATGAGGTTGTCACAGACAAGTTATATTGAAAACTTAATAGAAAAATTTAACATGGGCGAATGTAAGCCGGTTTCAACGCCGATGGAAACAGGTTTAAAATTGGAAAGAGCACAAAAAGAAGAAGAAATGAAGAACATACCATACCAGGCATTGATTGGTTCTTTGATGTATCTGGCTATAGCTACGAGACCAGATATTATGTTTACAGTAAGTTATTTGAGCCAATATAATACTTGTTTTGGAAAAACGCATTGGCAAGCAGCAAAAAGGGTTTTGCGTTATTTAAAAGGCACGAAGAATGTTAGCATCAGATACAGTAAAACAGGAAGTGCATTAGTAGGAATGGCTGATGCTGATTGGGCAGCATGTACCATTGACCGTCGTTCATATACGGGTTACATCTTCAAGTATGGAGGTGGTCTAATAAGTTATGCTACAAAGAAGCAACGAGTTGTAGCTTTGTCAACTGCTGAGGCAGAATATATGGCAATGACTGAAGCCGCAAAGGAAGCGCTACACTTAAAACAGCTTTTGGAAGATATTGGAGTGACTACACAAGCTGTACCAATCTACAACGATAATTTAGCTGCACAGAAGTTAGCCAACAATTTAATGACTGGAAAAAGATCAAAGCATATAAGCATAAGGGAACACTTTATAAGAGACTGTGTCCAAAAGAAACTAATAACAATCCATTATAAGGACACAGACAATATGGAGGCAGATCTTTTAACAAAGGCCTTAACCCAGCCAAGGTTAATAAAACTGCTGAAGATGATAAGGGTCACTCAGACCTGAGGTGACACCCCAAGATCTTCGTGAGGGGGAGTGTCATAGAGAATACTGTCTGGCAATAAAATTTAAATATAAGAATATAATTTTGATAGATGTCGGTAAAAATAAATGTGTCAGGTTGTGTTAATAAATTGTAAATTGAAATAAATAAAACTATGCTTATTTAAAAGGGACTTTATTAAAGATAACTCCACTGCGATAAAACTACTCTCTATAAAAATATGAAATATATACTATAATATTTTTTTTATTACAAGTTTATTTAAAATCTTATTTATTTTTGAAATTTGTTTAAGAAAGGAACGTAATAGGCACAATGCACCTAAAGTGACAGAACCCAGTATAGCTGCTGAAGTACAATGTGCCTTGTGTTGGGCTGTTCGTGGTACTCTCTTACTATGGCTATTAATGTTAACATGGATTTGTGCTGCTCTGTACGATCAAGTTACTACAATGAAAGTAGATATTGCCAAAGGTTAGTGATATATTCCTCTATACTCTTTATTATAGTGAAGTACTCAAGTTGACTAACAAAGTTACATCTACATCTAAGACTCAAACTAGTGTCTCTCAAGCAGTGTCAGGGAATAATTTATGGAGATACTTTAAAATTCAATCTATACCTAGTCTCTAAGTACTTTGAATAAGTACCCAGTTAAATAATGATACAACAAAAATTAGTATTTTCATTCTACAACTTTTATCTTAGTAAAGTACCTATTTATTATATATCAATGTGAGATAAATGAATACTATAAAGGATATAGATAAGATAATTTTTGGTTAATACAAAATAAAAATATAAACTGACTATATTATATAGAAAAGAATATCACCATTATAACATTGTTCTTTTTTATATTATTTTTTAGTAATTAAATAGCTCAATTTATTTATTGTAAATAAGCTCTATTTTCATTATTTACAGAAATTAAATGTCATAAAATTTCATTTTTCATGACATGTAATTTCTATACACAATATTTCACTCAACTAAAAATAATTAAACATTCATAAATATAATAATAATAAAGAAATTGTTTCACATTATAAATTGACTAGTGACTCACCCTCGCTTTGCTCGGGTTCGTCCTTAGGTACGTTTTAACGGTTAGTATGGATATTCACGGGAACCGTGCATTTTTCCAGGATAAAAAATAGCCTATATGCTATTCCAGACTATGATCTATCTCTTTGCCAAATTTCATCCAGATTTGTATTGCCGTTCTGGCATGATTGAGTAACAATTATATATCCATCCATCCAAACCTTCGCATTTATAATATTTATGGGATTATTTTATATTTTAATGGACACATTTACTTTCTTTACTTTGATAAAATATTAGGGTCTAATATACACGACGACTTTTAACGTGCCGTCGACGCTCCCTTATCACGCGTTTGTATCGCACGCATACACGAACGCAATTAATGTGCATTTTTCTCAGTGCAGAAAACGCGCAGACGACGTTCCTACTTCCTATAGGAAGAAGCTTACGCGCGTTCCTACTTCCTAACGAAATGTAAACTTTTATAAAGACGCGCGTTCTTTAAAAATCGCGCGTTCATGATGCGTGTCGTCGGCGCGTTTATAAAATACGCCATCACATCACATAACTTTTTAACTAAAAAAAAACATCAATTTCAAAATCATTCTAAAGTAATCATTATTAAAATTTATATTGGCCATTCTTGAGTTATACTCTTCTTTACTACTTCTCCTTTAAAGTTATAGGTCTTATATGTACATTATAAAATAAAACTTAATGCATCATTACACTTAGCTATACAAAGATAAAAAAAATCCATTTAGTGAGAAGTATGAAGATGTTTATATTATTGATAGATTATGGCTATTCAGTGGACATGTTTTTGCGCAATGAGCTGTTTTCTATATTATTTATTATAATTATTATAAGCCTGTAGTGTCCCACTGCAAGGCAAAGGCCTCTCTACTGTTCCTCCACTGCTCCCTTTCGTTCGTCATAATAAGACACTCTCTTTGGAAGGAGTCTAACTCATCCGCCATCCCGCCTTAAGGGTTGATTTACCCTTAAATTCAAGATGGCAGATGACGCAACGGGTGTTTTACCCCGAAAATCTAAATTTAGACTTCCAGTGACCCCTCAAAGAATTCCGAAGAAAAATTACTGTTAATTTTTTTTTGCAATGTTTGCCCCTTTTTTGAGCTAATTCGACTGGGCTAAATAAAATAAAGAAAAATTGCTCGCAATTTATTTTAACTTTTGTTTTTTTCTCATTTTAGGAACAATGTTAATATTAAGGTCGAATGCGTAGAATGCAAAATATATCTTAAAATTTAAAGATTTTTGATATTCTGTTTTTTTTGTGCTTTTTGCCAATTTTATGAATTCAAGAGTCAACGAGCATTAGGTACCCTATGAGTATATTGTTGTCCAATTATACAACATAAATGACTGCTATTGTATTGACTTATAAGCTTGATTTTGTAAACAATACAGCCTAAACCTACATAAACTATGATATTAATAATTTTATACCTTTCTTTTTAACGTAATACCCTTCACCCGTTCATGAGGGGTTCCTAATCCTATAGGGGGTTCCTTTTTTTCCTTTTCAGGTACGGAACTCTAAAAAACTGTGTTGCAATGCATATTCGTAGCATTTACAGTACTTATAAAATACATGCGAAAGTATTTGTCCTCCTTTCACACAGCAATGTGTTAGTTCATGTTGTTAGTGTATAAGGCTTATATGTCACGGTAAATCAGGTGGTTTATTCCGGTATATCAAGTACAAAAAAAAGAACTACATAGAATCAGAAACTAGTTTATACTATAATAAAACTGTAGAGGTCGAATGTCTGTACATAGAAAAAAATGCTAAAAACCGAGACAGGGGGATGTAAGAAGACAAATAGAACAAATCCGGATTTTTTTTTATTTTTTTTGTTTCTCTGTCTGTTTGTCTGTTTGTACGGGCTAATCTCCGAATCTATTGGACCGACTTAAATGAAATTTTGCATGGTGGTACCTTATATCCCCGGGGAACATCTTAGACACGTTTTATCCTGAAAAATTAACTAGTTCCCGTGGGATAGTTAAAAAACTATAGTATCATATACAGTATAGTACACAACTTATGCTCCTAATTTAGTAAAATTTAACATTCTGATACCTTATATTACCGGTCAAACAACAGGTTACTTTTCATCCCGGAAAAATGAACGGTCCCCGTGGGAACTAATAGATCTCTATTAGTGCTTTTCTTAGTATTAAATAAATATTTTATACTTAAACAATATTTGATCATCAAGTAGGGATGTACTTAAGTAAAGTTTAGCGTGAATTACATCATACATAGTGATAGGTACATTGACTGCGATTTTTATATTATAATGGGTTATTTTATTTGAACTTGGCTTCTTACATAAATATTAGATCTAGACATGACAAGACATGCTGTCAACAAACCCAGCAATAAATAAAATTCTTGAATATAAACGTAATCGTTTTAGACTTTTAATATCTATAATATTTTTTTTAATCCACTAGGTATATGATTTAAAATGTATGTATATATTATAAGAGCACAGGTACGTTTACACAAAAGGCGTTTGAGATCGGTGGTCCTATTGTTCTAACAGCAAAGAAAACAAAAGGTGAGAGCACTTCGAGTATCTTTTATCTGAGGTTCCTATCAGACATCAGTCCAATCTAGAACGTTTATAACTGGCGTGTTGGGAGTACGCATGCGTCTCGTCGCTCCTTCCTGACGTCAGTCAGTTCTCTCTTTCATCTCCTCCACGGCTGTAGCTCATTCTCATAGTGATTGCTTCAAGTATCAATTAGTCTCTTAGTGCCCTTTTCAATTTCTATTTTCTCCGCGTTTTAACACTAATCAAATAAAACAATTTCCGTTTTGTTGGTAACAAATCGATCTGTCCGTGTAGTGCCAAGTGTTTCAAAGCTGTTTGTGTTGTACTTCATTTGCGTTCACGAATTGGTCATGTTATTGATTGATATTAATTGTATTTTTTTGTTTCGGCTCATGGTGTTTATTTATTAAAAAGGAGATTAGTGTGCCGCAAGCTCTAGAGCGCATGCGTTATCTTCATTCACTGCGTCCCTAACGTCGCGTTCCGAGGTCGATATTACGATTGAGTGTTATCTAGTATTCTATGTTATCCAAATTGTTTTATATCGCGCGTGTTTATATTTGTGAACATTAGTGCAAGGAAACGTGATAGTAATGGCTACGTTTTATATGATTGAACATTTTAGAAAATTTTAAACGCATTCTGTACTTAGTACTTACATATTATGACTAATAACTTCTTATCTTGACATATTGTAGATAACACTTGCATGATAAGAATATATTTTTATACTATATTAAGTTGTTAGGAGATGTTTATAAACTTTTTCGTTTAGATTTTTACCATTGTAATTTCCATTAACGTAATATTTATCTAGGATATCCGGGTACAGTAATTTATGCAAAAAAAAAACTTTTTGAACTAAACTAGAAAATCGGCCTCTCTGTTCAGTGTTGTTTTTTATAAGAATATCCGTAACTTCATGCTAAGATTTCTCAAACTATTTATAAAATTTTAGGCGGCAAAAGAATTCTGATATATTTTTTAGTAAAAGATCTAAAATCTAAATATACAAAATTTTCCAAGTACCTAATAACTTAATTTTTATAATTATTATTCTATTTTTAAAACTATTCTATATATGGTTTTGCAAAATAGGTCAGTATCTATTCTAGAACTTACTATATGTAGTATGTACCTATGTCAATGCGATAACAAAATAAATATACCGACATAGTTTATAAGATACATACCTAATTGTGATATTACTGGACTGTTCGAAAAAACTATCTATAACTGTAAGTATAAAATTTATCTGCCAGCTATAGTACTAGAACAAAACAGATCGATCGTAATATCGTCTAAAATGAATAACTTATAATACATGTACAAATTCTGTAAGCAATTGTATGTTTGCTAAGTGCTCTACCTGTTTTAATGTGGTTTTTACTTAAAAACCCAGTCTGATATTTTCTAATATAGTTTTTCAAAGCTTTTATTGTCCTATGTAATGAAATAAATGCTACAAAAACTTATATAACACGTTGCGACCGCCCTCATTTGATAATGATTTCAAATTGATTGTTTTCGCGGTAGTCTTGATTTGCTCAATTTTATTTACTGACTAGCGGCTCACCCTCGCTTCGCTCGGGTTCACCTCTAGACAAACAAAAACAAATTTATCCCACGGGAACCATACATTTTTCCGGGATACAAAGTAGCCTATTTGTTATTCTGATATATGAACTATATTATTGTAAAATTTCATTATAATCCAATGAGTAGTTTTTGTGTACTAAGCTGTATAAATTACTATACTTTTTTTAACTATCCCACGAGAACCCTTTAATTTTCCGGATTGAAAGTATCTAAGATGTTGACCGGGGATATAAGAT